TTTTGTCGAAAATCATTAGGCCAAAAAAAAAGTGATGAATTAAATGTGAACAAATAATTATTTGTTTGAATTATTTCATGTTCATAAGTACATTTTATCGAAAACAATATTACTCTATAAATTACTTGATAAGAGAACAATATATCCCTAATTTCCTAGCGGAAATGCGTTTTACTCGTACCATGATGGGTTTAGAGAAAAAACACCTAAAATAAAATCGAAAGTACACAATATTTTGAAGAAAATTACATATCCTTTTTGCAAAATGAGTTTTATTAAAAGGTTACAACTGTTTAATAAAGTATTAAAAAGTTGACAAAATGCTAAATTGTAAGATAAATATTTAGTGTTGGTACCCCAAAAAGGCTATGTCAACAATATTTGTTTACTTTCAATTTTATAATAGGTGATTTTGCTCTAAAACAACTTTGGGCTGAGTAAAACGCTTTCTGCATTTGAAATTGTAAATATTTAAGAGGACCCTACCCAGACCATTTCTAAGGAGTAAAGTATAGGCAATTTTTCAAAAAATCTTAAATTAGAGTTTGAACTACAATGTATACTTATTAATACAGTAATGAGGATACTTAATTGTTATAAGGAGGAACTTTATCCATGGGGTGGCGTTTTAATTTTTTTGATATCTATACTTTATATTTTTTTGAATGCAAATTAAAAAAGGAAAAAATAATTAATACTTACGAATGAATATTTTGATTGTGCTTAAGCTATCAAAAAAACTAAAACCGCTACCCCGTAGATAAAGTTCTTCTTTATCAATTGTAAAAATTGTATACGGCTACTCTAAATACCGCCCTCACATTCTTGTCCCCCGCAAAACCATTTTTGGATGGATAAATTACGGGTAGGTATCGTCCTCTTAACTGAATTTTATTACTGGTTGGGGCAGACAGTACGTTTAAAATCGGTTCAATTATTTTTCAAGAAGTTTTGTGACATAGGTCAAGTAAATTTAAAAATTAAGACTATAAATTTAGCACACGTAAATACTTATTTACGACCTGGTTGGTAAGACAGTCAAATACCAATTGAAAATGCACAATTTAAGACTACAAAAAGTACAACACAGAATATTATGTAATTCTGATTATAAATAATTACAATACTTAAAACAATTGCACACCATTTAAAAATGTAAAAAAAAATATATAATTATAATTCTTGATTATATATACGTACATATTTTATTAAAAAATATATATATACCTAATCGACCATGTTAACAGTCCATGTATTGCAACGGCTACATGGAGAATAGTATAAAACTATGAATAAATGTACAAAATTATAAAATTAAATTCATAAAATTATGAATTAAAAAAAGGTATGATGTACTAATTATAAGGTTTGATTACAGTGAAAATGACTTAATGAAATTAATAAAAACATAATTAGGTCCGAAAATAGTCTAATTCCTGGTCTATTTGCTCAGGTTATTTCTAAATTGACTGTATATTATAAATAACATATAAACAAAAAAAAAATCATTAGATATAAATGATATTTTATGCGTTAAAAATGATTAAATTAAATTAGGTACATGACTACTATATTATTTTGTAATTGTCAGTGGTTGTTTATACACACTAATAACATTTTGAGAAATTTAATTAATAATGGTATATGTAATCTATCCTTTATGATATTTCTTGTCTTTACTGTTTCCACTTTATATCCTGACCATATTTTGTAGCTTATAGTGTGAACGTACCTTATACCAACTTTCAATGCTGAGTAATTTGTTCAGACAACTAAACATAAATGATGGCACATGTCGACTGTCGAGGGTTGTTACTCAATGCTATGCTACTATGCTTCAGGTAGTCGCTAACCGAAGAAGAAAAAATTGACCAGTGGCTATCATCAATCAAGATGCCGAAGGGTAGCCAAGGCCAAGGCAGATGAGACATAATGGAGGACCATAATAATAGTACCAAGGACGACCGCTCGTAAACGATTTTTGTGAGACTGCAACGTGAAAAAAGGGCTGCAGTCTGTAACAAATCGAAATTATTTCCTCTTGCACTTACTTATAGCCTATTGGTCTAAGCTATACATTTTTAACCAAGTTACAGACATTCAACGTAGACAGGTTATATGAACGGTAGTTAATAAATTAATACTACAAACTGTAATATTATCTATTAATTTGACGAATGTATATTATACTATCTAGCCTATCCCCAAAGTAAAATCATTTAAACTATATTGTAATAAATAAAATGTTAAACAAATATCTAACAAAAGTATACATAATAATATATAGGTAATTATCAAAACATAAATCGTAATGCGATTTAATATTACGAAAAAGTACAATTTAGTAGTGCCGTAAATTCTTTAAAAACAGTAATTGTTAAATAAATTATTAAAACAATTATTATTTTAGATAATCATTTTTTTTTTCAAAACATTCTTTTAACTAATATTGTTTGGAAATTATTTATATGGAACCCATAATATATTATCTAGAGCCAATAAATCTTGAATCAATAAATTTGGAATCTAAATTATTTTGTAAATATATTTCTAGAATCGACATCTTTTTAAAACTATTAATCTAGAATCAATAAACTTTGGAACGATAAATCTTAAATCAATTAATTTAGATCGACATTAAAAAAAATAAGTTTTTTCTGGAATTAATAAAATTGAATAACTTTTAAGCTTCTTCCAATCGTGGTTATTTGTACAAATAGGCCATGGTAAATACTAAATGGTAATATTAACTTACAACAGCTCACTCACGGGACCTCTTGAACTATATAATACATAAATTCTAGATTTATATGTTTCCAAGTAAAGTCAATTCTAGAATTATTGGTTCCAAATAATCTCGATTTAAGAATTATTACTTTTAAATTATTATCTTATTTTTATGTAAGTATTGCCGATTCCAGTAAAATTAATACAAGTGATTGTTTATTCATTTTTTCCAATTGATTTTTTAGTTTAAATTATGCCATATTTTAAGATAATCAGTTTCAAAAATTAAGTATTTCAAATTTTAGAATTTACAATTATTGCATGCGTCCATTTTACAATAATTATAAGTGCAATTATGAATACAAATTAATTATTGTAGTTAGCACGGGAAATTAAATTAACAGATTACAGATTTACAAATTCGCGGTATAAATAGTCTTAATGTAGACAATAGTTTTATAAATTAAATTTTTAGTGTTTTTAACTAAATTTTCAAACTAAAAAAAGCAATTTTAACCCAAATTATTCCGTTGAAGTTATTTTTAAAATTACATTTTTTTCCACGTTATTCTTCTATACAAAATACTCGTATACTATATTTTTACAAAGTATCAAAATTGGATTTTAGTTTTTTAGAAATTTGAAATTTGCACTTTTACACAATAGCTTATAATATTAGACCTTAAAATTTCTGGTGGATTAAGTATAAAAGAATTAGTATTTGATTGCACATATTTGCATATTATTTCAATGTAAATTTGAATTTAGTTTCAAAAGTTGGAATAATCATTTTTCAGTTTTTAAAAGCTCTAGAAGGGAAAATTTACTAAAAATTAATAATAAGGTTGGCTTTTTAGACACAAAATAAAAAACAATTAAAAAAGACAGGCATAAGCATTCATTAAAATCATTACTATTTAGTATTTAATAATTATAATAGATATTATATAGTGTTACTGTAAACATGAATCATGATATAACTCTCTCTCGGTTTGACTCTAATTGCTATGATTCGTCGTTCTAAAAAAACAAACATTTTCTTTACGCCATGGTAAACCGGTACATTGTCAAGAGGTTAGTCACATTTTTAAACTAACGGTACTTAGTTTATCCGTGTTGAATATTGACTCATAGCTCTTGCATAACATACTGATTTTATACTATTTATATTTATTATTTTGAATAATTATAAAAATTAATATTATTAATTATTATAATATTAATAACAGTAGTTATAAAATTCTATTAAATCCAAAGTTCTTATCTATATTTTATTTTTGTGCTTTTATCACTTAAAACCATCAAATTACTTACATTATAAAGTCGTTTTGAAAAATGTATACCTAAATAACGTAAAATGACTAAAATAAACCAGACAACTATTAAAACGGCCATATACTGGACTACTGTCAACTATAATCTATATTTAATTATAAACAACAACAGTTACAATATCTCGTAGCGTTTTGAATGAACAATAACGAATATACAATATAATGTATGCGGCCGACTGCGAATGCACCTAAGCGTTCTGGTTGAATGCAATCGTGTAGTGAGTACTGACAAAATAATTATCGTCAAAAAAGAATTTCGTAGATGCCGACCACTCGTGGCGACTTAGGTAAAATGTAATAATAATAACACCTGACCGCATTATTACCATTAGGAAGAAATCTATTATAATTTATATTCTGTTCTCCCACAACCGCCGAATGGGGGTCGGCCGCACGAGAAAAGATCCGCATGGCAGCAACCAACTCTTTTTCACTCTTTCACGAAGCCGCCGCCGTGCGTACCCTTGACCTGACATTGGCTATGGTGTTTGCCATTACGTACGTTCTGCTTGCTATAAAGTGCCTAGTCAACTAGTATTAATTTATTCCGCTAGCAAACGTGCGTACACGTTATTGGAAAACTATATTCTCCATCATGCGTCTAACCGGACAAATGTACCGCATTAGTAGTGCATTTTGCATGATGCGCGCTCTAACATAAAAAAATTATTACAATATTATTACGCCTTCTGCTGTTCGATCATCGTCGGCATGAATAAACCATAAGACATAACTTACGTTAGCATAGGCATAAACATATACATATAACCGTGTTCACGTGTTCGTGCCACCATTGTAATCAGTTTTGGTAAGATAAAAATCGTCGCCGCCGCCGCCGTTTTATTTATTTAACTCATCGACAACAATACTTGAAACGAGCAAAATGAAAATACATCTCACCGAAAAAAATATGAATGCTTTCCATGCGGCACCTACACACCCTTTGCCTAACAGCCAACAGACAGTCAACAGTTAATCTGTTTACTTACGGTTTTGTCTTTTAATATTTAAATTTTTAAGACCGTAACTGACGGCATGTTTCCAATATTTTTTTAATGTCTATATACGTTTGTATGCATGAAGGTGTACGAGCAACACGTTTACAGGTCGTAATCATGATAAGTCCAACACAGATTCTGATCATTTGTCTATCATTGAAGCTCGTCTTCGACGTTTACGAGTACAGCAAATACCAAAATGGATAAACAAATATAAAAAATAACTGTGGCGGCGATGTCAGTAGCGTTTACTTTGTATTACGGTTATCATTTATTAATCAGACCAGTGAATATACAAAGGGTAGGTTAGACGGCGATGACAACTGCAATGACAGTGCATTTAACAATGCGTTCTGTAACTGATATAATATAATAATCATTAATCTGTAGACACTGGCACACTTGGGCTATGAGGGTTTATCACAAAACCAGTGGGCATCAAATGACAGGTTGCACATGATCAAACAAGCGATGAAGCTTAAGAAAAAAGAACAAATGCCACCTGCTTTCCCGAATGGATGGTTTTCGATCATCGAGTCTGATCAAGTAAAATTAGAACAAGTCCAATATGTATCGGCTCTGGGTAATATCTATTTTATAATTTTGCCGTTTTCCAATAACTAGCATAATATGTCTTATTTTAAATTACTTAACTCTGAACTTCATTAGTAATTTAATCATTTTTTTTATTAATAACTTTGTTAATTTGTTTATGTCATAGTTATTGAGGACATTTATTTGATATTCAGTAATTTTTTAAAATTTTAAAATGATACAAATGATTTAGTATTATTCAATTTTCTTGTATCTAGAGGGCAATATATACGTTGCCAAAAGCCTCATGATACTATTCAATACACAAATACATAATGCAATTTAAAATTTTAACATTTGCATAGACTATAGATGTATCAATATTATAAATGAATTATTTCATTCTACGTCAATAATTCATCTTACTAATGGTAGGAAATGAAAATCAATTTCTATAGAAAAAATAATGGAGGGGTACGCTATATTGCTCCTTTTATGGGAATGTTTCTGGAGGGAATGTAAAGTAAGAGAAAAACATTTTGTAATTTATGAAAAATATAATGTTAAAGAAGTTTTCTTCTTGCTAACCAAAGTTAATAAATCAGATATTACGTTATTTTTATTTATTTATGGAATTTCTTATCAAAATTACAAAGTTAAGCTCAAAATATTTGTTTATTTTTTTGTTTAACTTCATAACATGCTCTAACTTACATAACATGTCAACAAACATTTTTGTTTTAAATATAATTAAACCAAATTTAATATTTACTATGTTAATAACTTTCATGAGAACATTTTGCCGTGTTCCTATCAAAAAATGGCATTATCAACACTCTAGATGCCAACTGTCCTCATTTGGAGGCTCAGTTATAGGGAATAGTCTACAATGCCCATGTCATGGTTGGACATTTTCGGGTAATAGCGGGAAGTGTGTAAAGATTGCAAACAGTTGTTCAAGAGGTAAATATTAAACTTACAAGTGTACATTGAAATAATACGTACGGCTTAACTGGCGAAATACATTTTAAGGCGATGTTTCTTTAATACAAAGCTATAAAAGAATTGTTTTTTATAGGTATTTTTTTTATTCATATAATAATTGTACACGTAAGAAATGGTTAGCCAAATTTTTCACATGTTATACTCTATTTATTAGCAATCATAAAACGCGTACCCTATCAAAATATAATAGTATAATGACCAATGATGTAGCTAAAGACGCATTGGAAACCCAACACTGTTATCATGAGATGGTTTCTTGAATAATTCTCTAACCGGGACAGGTCGTCATTCCGTCGCCGGAAAGGCGATGGCGTTTTCTTTTTTCAAGACGATTTCTCCCCCGCCAAATGGAGCGCCCATGACCAAGCGTCGAACCAGCGATAGTGAGCGCTGAACACACTGATGCCTTACCCACTTGTTCTCTTCTAATAGTATAATACATACTACATAGTATGCATCCATCGTCTCTTACAAAACCTAGCGCGTTCTCTCAAAAACAACAAGTTTGTCCTTATCCGCCAAAAACTTACAACACACTAGGTTAGTTCTTTCCTGCGAAAACAAACAATTTTTTTTTTATTTTCCAATGATCCAATTAACACGTGACATACTTATGTAAAAAAAAGAAGTTCGCAACTAGTTGTTTTTAATAACGACAATTTTTTTTACTAAAGATTTTCACTTAAAAAAGATATTGTGCCAAATTGTTCGTAATCTGTTCAGGCTATTTTTCGCTTTTTCTGTACATTAATATATCCTGACCAATTCGCCAAATGTGGTCACTTAAGGGTAAAAAAAAAAATAATTATCTTCTTTCTTAGCACTTCAAAGGTTAAAATCTCAAAAAGGTCGTCATACAAAAACATTTTGTTTTTTATTTACCCTGAGGGCCAGGGGTGACAGAATATCTATGGAAACTATCATTATCTTGGTTTATTTGGGAATAAAACAATTTAATTTTAATGATATGGATTTACTGACAGATATCGTCATATTCTGATATACATTTAGGATAAAATGACTTTCGTGTTGTGATTTATCGTTGACAGGGTGTAAAACCATATCCAAAAATTCACCCCATCCCCACTTGTTTACTAATAATAAACTGCTTATCAGACAAATTCAACAACATGGTTGGTTTTCGAGAGAATATAGCAAGGTTGTCAACTCCTTAAAAAAATATTACGAAAACAGTCAAACCCTAGCGAAAAATGCATAACTTGATAGGGAAGCGAAGTTCTAATGGTGAAAGACACCTAAAATGTGCGCCCTATAGTTTATTGTGGTTGAGTCGTAACTCGTATTTCTCCAAAATTAACCTTTAGCAAAACTAAATACACCCTAAGTCAACTATTTTTGAGACATGACAAAAATAATGACACCGATATTGAATCATGATTTGCCATAGACACAAATGTACCACCACTTTGGGTGAAATTACCCCATCCATGATTATTGAATTGTTGTTTTTATAAAAAAAAGTTAAGAGTATCTATACTTCATGTTGATACATCAATACATGGATATGTCCTGCAATCTTGTATCTCTAATCCACTATCTCTATTAACTCACCTCCATACTCCCCTTTAATCCCTCCAAGATCCTCCTCCATAATCCATAATGATGTCAGCACTGTGACACAAAACGTGACGGACAAATTTTAAGAATGACCCCCAGCCATAAGACATACCCATGTCAAAAAAAACTATTTAATACTATATATATATATATATAATACTTTATATAAGTATTATATAATGTAATGGAAATTGAAAAACAATTTCTCATTGTAAGGCAGTATTTTCTGTCGCTATCTATCTAACGCGAAACAGGAAATTTAGACATATTTTCGTTCCAACGTACTGATAAATCTCCTGATTCGATAAGATATCTGAACACAGATTTAAATTTCTAAGAATCTCTTCTAGGGGAAGACTTCTTCGCTTTTTTGTTCAATGTAGTTTTTTGAAAAAATCTTTTATATTTAATTTTTAATTTTTTAATTAAATACTGGCAAGTTTAAAGTAAACATTTAATAAGTGGAAAAGTTATTTCCTAAAAGATATTCTGCGAAATCAGTATTTTAAATTACTTAGAGCATCAGTAGATCGATTGGTACCAGTACGTTGGAATGAAACTCTATGTCTAAAGTCTTAACTGCTATGCTGTGCGTTAAATTAACGCAGACAGGAAATATTGCTTTCCAATCCTCTAAACAATCAAAATTGTGTTACCAAAAAACTTTTTGTCTATTTTTTGTAAAAAATGTGCGTTTTATTATTGAAAAATTTCAAATTTACTTCATTTAATTAGAAAAAAAAATCATTTTTAAAAGAAAATCTGTTTCTAACATAGCTCAGTAAAGAGCAATTCACAATTTTGTCACACTGAATCAAAACTAGCCTTTACTCATGGAAAAAATTGTTAAAATTAATATTTACGTTGATGATTAACATCAACAAATTAACATAAAATAAATGGACATAGTCGAAATTGATTAAAAACCCTTATTATTAAATTTAACATTTATTAAAACCAAAGAATAAGTTATTCTTAAATATTCCTTGTATACAGAGTTGAGCATTATTTATTTATTTTTTATCTAAATAATTATTTAAATATTTTTTTTTATTCGAATAAATCATCTTAGATTTAGTCGAATTAATAAAATATTATTCGTTAATAGAATAAAAAATGTCCAGTTCTACCTGTATAAATTCCTTAAAACTCAACCGCTTTCAATCCCCTTAATTGTAAATCATCAAAAGCTGAATTTTTTTTTTTAAAAATGCTATATATAATGTATACAGTTTTTCTTGTAAGTTAGAGTGTCCAAGAAAATAGTTTAATTAGATTCAACTTTATAACATTATACTTTATTATTATAAATAATATTAATATTTTATATTGATATTTATAATTAATGATATTAGGTAACCTAAAGGGTAGCACGCCAGCACCGAGTATACCTAACAATAAAAGCATATGACCCCTGTACCACGAATGGCGCTAGAAGAAATCCTTCTTGAAGCGGTTTACTAATTTTTGCAATTTTTTTTTTATTTATGTCGCTTGCTGTTAAAACATTTGTCTTTTAGCAGTGTAAACGCAATAATTTACAAGAGCAGATGTTTACATATTTTCCACCTGACGACTTGATCGGTTGAATAAGCTTCAAGCGATCCAGCCATGATGTATGATTTTAAGTATCACAAAAAAAAAATATTAAACTCATTGTTAAGTACTTTTTTAACATTAATGTAGAAATACTCCTGGCTTAGATACACAAGGTTATTGCATTGCTACCCATTGACAATTTTGATAGTAGAAATAAAACGGTAGCGTAAAGAGAGCTAATCAAATTTATTTATTTTGTAAAGATATTTAATATATTTATTTAAAAACATTGATATCCCCTGCCCTGACACTGCTATTTTGTGAATTGTTAATATAATAGAGTGGAGATTTGCAATAACTTGGAATATTTAAGCCATGGGTTATACTAAACGTAAGTAAAAGCTTTCAACAGCTCGAGGCACCCACAAGAAAAAAATTTCAGTGTCTATATTATTTAAAAGGGTTGATCAACACATAGGTAGCATTTAATACTAAAAAGAGGTTTTTTCGGAATATTCGTAAATAAAATATATATATATAATATGTTGTGAGCTGCAAAACATGTTTATGACCACCTTTAGTGTACTGAACATATGTACAAGGTTGTAAAATATTCCTCAAATCAGATGCAGCCATGTTCCTTTATCCATTCTGAATCATTTTTTTTTTAACTATGTGAAGAAATTTAGAATCCAAGATAAAATGTGTAATATAATTTTGGGTTAAAAGTTTAGTTTTCTTACTTAAATTATACATGTTATAATCAAAATATTTAATAAATTTGGCTATAAATTCGTATTTTCTATATGTTCATGAAAAATGTTTAACAGCGCTTCATCGATTCGTAAATATTTTCAAAACATTTCTTGTATGAAGGTAGTTTACATAAGTAATCTTCAATAAACTTAAATGCAATCTTTCATACACGAATTCAGATTATGTAAAACTAAGAAATTATAATTCAAGATAGTAGGTAATACGCTTTTTTTACTATTTTATCTATAAATATAGTAATAGAATCACTTATTCATTCTGCTGATTATCGTCGTAACATTCCATGTATTTTAATAGTCTTAACTTACAACTCTTTCAAACCTTAGATATTCAACTACACTCTGGTTACTTCCTAATATAAAATTTCTGTCTAAGAATATTGATTCTTAACAAATGTATATAACGTACTTAGTAAATGTATATATGTATATAAAAAATACATTTTAAAACCCTTTGAGCTCAACTTTATATAAGCGCAGCTAGAGTTCTTTGGAGAGGGGCGAAGAATAAACTTCATAACAGTGTAATGAGTAATCATTAAAAAAATATACATCTATACATAAATATGGGAGTTTAAAATAAGTGTTTTTTTTTTAATATACAACTATGTTTTTAGATTGTACCTGGATTAGTAATTTTAAACATGAAATTTTTGATTGGAACTATAACAATAATACAAGTGGTTACACCTGTAGAACCTCTTATTCAAAAAATTGTGCAGCACATTTACTGTCCTTTGCAATTATCATGTTTTGCTTCAATCATTCTAAAAATGGAAACAATTATGGTATATAAAATTATTTTATACGAATGATCAATATTATATTATGATTTACTTTGACCTAACTTTCAAGTTCAAAAATGTTGTAAGCTAAATGTTTTTTTTTCGATTTAAAAGGGAAACAAGCTTTTGCAATGTTTTGTATTTCAGAAGTACAATAAGCGTATAATGTTTCTGATTTATAAACTGTATTAGTTAGGAATTTGGAATTAAAGCTTAAGCTTTTAATTTAGATTTTTTCGAAAAATTGCCTACATAAAACAATTTATTTAATATAACGTAGGTATTAATAACGAGTATAACGTCCTCGTTATTAATACCTCGCAGAACGAATACATTTACGTTCGCTTCGAAACATGACGGGATTCAGGAGTTAAATAGGCATTAATTCCGGTCCCCTAAAAATATATGTGAAACTCGTTCTATAGTGAACGATTTTGTTTACAATTTTGTAGATCTAGTCGAGAATGATATTAAATAATTTTTTTTCAAGAAATTTCATTATTTAATATTGTTGATAACATAGGTAATAGTTCTCTATCAAAGCTAAACATAAGACAAATTGGTTACCTATAGCCATAAAACATATTTTTATGTACATTATGTTCATTTGTACTTGTACCGTTAATTGGCGCAGTTGCCTCACTTCGTCCGAACTCCCAAAATGTTTTTACTTTAATACTAGAATAATAAATGGAACTAATGATAAGATGAGATATAACGGTTTTTGGAACTAATTTTTATTTAATTTTACAAGGAGGTAATTTTGTATACACCTTACAAAACCTAGTAAATTTATTTACTTATATTTATTTTTACTTTATTATACTAAATGATCTAAGGATCCAACAGTAAATAAGTTCACTATTGGAAAAATTGATAACTTGAGTTTTTGCATACCTACATTTTTTTATTTGTTCATACTCATAGTTGATCAACCTCCTTATAACTACACCGTCCCTCCGGTTACAATTCGCGATATCATGTGGATTTCAATTTTCAATCACTCGCAAGTCGCAAAACGTTAAAATTCCTAAGTATCTACTAACAGTTCATTTTAAATTATTAATAAACTTTTTATTTTAACATTAAAAATAAAATTAAACACACTATTAACACCTTGAACGTTGAAAATTAAGATAATTTTTTCCATTACAATTGCACAAGTCCTTTAAGAAAAGTCCCAAAACCAAAATTTTACAGGACAAGCAAAAACCTTTTTTCTACTAATGGTCCATCTCATGTAAACGGCAAATCCAAATCCCTATTTAGAAGGGAAGAAAACTCTGCGATAACTGGTATTTCTCCAATTTTCATAAAATGTGTGTCACTTTAAGAATCGAAAACAAAAAAACTATTTTGGCTAAAATATTGACTTATGGGGTTTCACAAATGACTGATTCAATTATATAATGTTAAGTTCTAAAACTAAAATGATACATTATTTATAGGCGTTCACAATAGGTATGTAACACCCATAAGCATAATTTAATTATGCTGTTTTATTCTTAACTCGTTTTTTAAATTTTAGCTGGAGAGAGATATAATAATATGGATTTTGGAACCACAAGATTTATGTAGAAAAACCTTTGTGTACAAAAGAAGAATTAACAATTTTATCTTACCGTCAATGGTTCAAACAATTTTACAGTGAAAATAGTCCAAAATTTAGTTTTAAAACAATGGAATGGTAACTAATTGTGTAAATCTAATTAAATACATAAATAAATAGTTTGTATTTTTTTATTTCAAAGCAGCAAAAGAAGTATTAAATATAACATAATTTATGAAATCATTAAAATAATACTAACTGAACAAATACAATTAAAAACAAGAAATTTTAATAATTAACGTTTTATTGGTTCAGTCTCTTTTTTTAGCCACCTTATAGCTCTTTCATCGCCAACTTTTTGTAGTAGTGGTGTTAATGTCTCCAAACATTTCTTGTGATAATCATTTAAATAAGCAATCTAACACAGATTTGATAAAAATAATTATTTTAACATTGGCTCAATGAATTAATCTACTTACTTCTTTATCGGTGAGTATATCAATAACCAACATTTTAGTTTGAATGGGACACATTGTTACAGTTTCAAACTCCAAAAATGGTTTCTGTGGCATTTTAAACGTGGTTGTTGAGTCTTTCACAAGTACTATATCTTCAATACGAATACCAAACTTTCCGTCTTCATAATATCCAGGTTCTACAGGCAATAGAGTTGAAAAATGTATTATAGTAAAACAAATTATCTATTTAAAACAAATTATTTGCTTCCTGTTCACCTTTAATTAAAAAAATTACTTTTTTTTTTTTTGGAAATAAATAAAATAGTAAAACCTTATAATTTGAATGCACATACAAAATATTAGGTATAGATCTTAAAAATTTAAAGGAAATTTAAAAATATTGTACTTGGACATAAATGAGAAATAATTGTTGTACCTTGTTTGTATAACAAACTAACTAGAAAACTATAATAAAACAAAAACATTTTCCGAGTGTCAAAATAACAAACTACAATTTTTTTATACTCCATCTAATTTAAGAATATCCAGACGGCCATATAAAAAACTGGTTTTCATCAGTTGGCCGCCCATTAAATTAGATGTAGTCAAATTTTTTTTAAAATTTATTATAATTTAGGAATTTATTAAAAAAATGTTGAAGTATTAAGAATAATTTTTTACAACTAGTTGCATATTTTGACTGCAAGGGCCATGGATGGATGCTGCCCAAGAGGATTTTATTTTTATTTTTAAACAATTCATAAATATTATATTTACACTTTTTCATTTTTAAAACTATTATCATTATTAGTTTTTTTTTATCAACTGTGATGTGTTAATTCAATTATTAGTTAAGTAATTAGGACTCTTTTTTGGTAGTTGAAATGTTTTTCGAACTATCACAGCATCCTTGACAGCAATTTAAAAAAATGTTTTCATCTAAACATAGCTACGTATATTCTCCATTATTGGCTAAATAATAATCGTAGACAATTTTTATCGTCGGTTTTTTTTTATATTATTAACTCAACATTCACAATTTTTACTTTAATTCAGACATTTTTTTTACATTTTTAAGGTAAAATTTCTGTTTTTGTCTTTATACAGTATGGAAGGAAGTTTATCATGAATTCAAAAACTTAATGTGTGTGGCTAGTTTGTTTACCAATTATGATAATATACAACGCATTTAGGTAATGGTCATTATAATGTTGCCACCCGGTAGAACAATGAAACAACTGCAAAATTAGGTAAAATGGACTAAATGCTTCAATGTGTTTAGATATAGCGAACGCATAAGATAGAACAACGATAGAAAAATAGAAGATAGAAAAACAACATAACTGTAATTGTAATAATTAATTGTGCATTCATTTGAAAAATAATTTGGTTCTTTGGTTCTCCTTCAAAATTTCAATTATTGCAGTTGTGTCATTGTTCTACCGGGGCGGCGATATTATCTGCCTAATATAAACCTGAGTATTTCTGTTGTTATAATCGCCTATCTAGTACTTAACATACCATACGTGCATGCAAATTTATTGGTACCACAAGTACCATAAATGTACTATATCAAACTTTTCCAATTATAACTGTTTTAAGAGTATTGACATTTCCTATTTGTTTTATCTGACATGCTACAAAGAAATTATTTGTCCATAATCCCAGCCAACCTAGTGTTACGATAAGAAATCTGAAAACGTATTTCAATTTATCATAAAGTTTACTTGAGATCGGTTTTTAAACTTTAAGTTTTAAGGTATTGAATGTATTAAATGATACCTCTATACACTTTTTTAATATATGATATTCTGAACATTCAAAATTACCATTGGACAAGAACATTCCTGGTTGTAATCCTGGATCATTAGGTATCTCTCTCCAAGAAATTCCCATTGGGCCTTCATGAACATTTAAATAAGCACCAATCCCATGTCCCGTACCATGCATATAATCTAATCCAACTTCCCACAGAAATCTACGAGCAAATGAATCTAAACAGTTACCCTGGAATACAAAATTTTAAATTAGTTTCAAATGTGTAATGCAATTAGAAAAAGTAGAATAATTATTAGAAACAATGTATTTACTAAAATCTTATGTGGAAATTTGCTCATTGCCAAATTTGCTTGGCCCTTAAAAACTCTAGTAAAACATTCTCTTTGATAATCAGTTGGTGTTCCAAAATGTAATGTTCTGGTAACATCAGTTGTGCCATCTCTAAATAATTATTTCATAAAATTAGTTAATAGTTCTATTTAAAAACAAATATTTATAATGACAATGATAATATGCTAGTAGCATTACTTACAAAAATTGACCACCAGAGTCACACAAATACATTTCATTAAGACTTAATGCCCTGTCAGTTTCTGGTGTTGGAGAATAATGAATAATTCCTGCATTTGGGCCAGAAGACGATATAGTTTCAAAGCTCAATCCTACAAAATCATCTTGCAAACTAAGAAAAAAAAATTATTAAATATAGTATAATATGTATAAGAACTATTAAGCAAATAATACTAAACCTCCTGAATGATAATAATTTTTCTGCTGCAGATATTTCAGTCAAATTTCCTTGAGATATATTTTCCTCTAGCCAAGAAAAATATGAACACAAAGCAGCACCATCTTTAATATGAGCATTAATAAGACCTAAAAACCCCAAATTAATGTTATATTCATTTATCATTAATTTCAAAAATAAATTGTAATATTGCCAATACCTTTAATTTCAACTGGATTTTTGATAGCTTTCATAAGAGGAATTGGTGTTGGTTTAGATATACGATTTGATTTTGAAACAGTAGTGACTAAATTATAACTGGATTTATCCGAAACCCAAACTTTACCAGTTTTACTACTATCTGATGCCAACTAAGAAAACCAATACAAAATGTAAACATTCATAGATTTTTTTTTTATGCATTTAGAAATTATACATCCTTATAAATACGTTAGTTTAAAAAAAAAAATGTTATTAATAAATTTATCTATTGGTTGAAATAGGTAAACAAATAAAATAAAATAATCTACAATCGAATAAGCACCTCAAAAATTACATGTAATTAAATTACAATTTTTCACTAAACATAAAGAACTTAAGTACTCCAGAAATTAAACTTAATTTTCAATTTTATCTTCTTATAATTTTATTTTTAGGATCTGGTATCCATAGTTCATAGTTTTGTAGTTTCATATATCAGTTAATCAGTATAAAACATATTTACCTTGTGCAAGGAGTAGCAATTTACTATATAAAATTTGGTCAAAAAAATTTGAAACTTAAATGGTAACATATATATATTTAATTGTATTTTTAAATTGGGAATAATTTTCTGGAAATTTTTACTGGTCTTTTTTTTTAATAAATAGTTATTAAAACACAAAATTAAGGACGGGAGGAAGGGTGGTGTGTGGTTTTCTTTATCTGTGGGCATTATTTAAACATACTCTACCTCCCGTCACATATTTTAAACTTTAATAACTTTAAAACTATTTATTCAAAGCTGGTTATCGATTAGACAAACTTTTCAGAAAATTGTTTTGTATTTAAATATTTAACTAAATATTTATGTCATTATTAAGTTTCAAAAGCTGATAAAGCTCTAGAAAATATTAAAAAAGATAAAAATTTAAATATTGTCTAATACTGTAATATAACATTAACAAATTTGTGTTCAAAAAGAATAACAGCTGAATTGTAATTTCAAGAGTAAACTAGTGTAGGGTATTATTAAAAGAATCACTTGGTATACATATTATATATTGTATTAAAAGTATGAAACTCTAATTTATCTGCTGTATAATATACTATTTTTTGTTTATAGGTTTTAACTTTTAATTAATGTGAAAGGTTCTTATAAGATAAAGTTAGATATGTACCACAATATAATAATCAATTAATTAATAACTTATAATTAAATCAATAGTTTTTAGAAAGATAGTTAGACAAGCAGACAAATGTACATAAAGTACATTTCATATTTGTCTAATTACGAAATAAAACATTTTACATAATTTTAAGTGCAAAACTATTTCTTACTATATCATTGAAAAAAGTATGTATTGTTTCATATGGATGGATATTAACAGATAAGTTTTCATTTTTGAAATGTTCCAATACTGATTTTTCAAGTTTTTTTTCTTCGATGAACAGATGAACATCAGTATGTGTTAAAACCACATATGAATAGAAAACTGGATTGTAAGAAATATCAGACCCTCTCAAATTGAGCAGCCCTAAAAATGGTTCAATAAATAATATTATACAATAATGATAATTAAAATCACTTATTAATATTTTTTAAATGTATTAAACTTACACGCTATCTCATCTAAAGCAGTGACTAACAAAATAGAAGCATTTTTTTCAGTCATTTTTTGCCGAACTTCTTCCACTTTCTCTCCGCATATTTTACCTGGCAACATATACGACAATATTGAAAATAATGACATGTTGAACACACATAATTTTAAATTCTCAATTTTAAGAATATCATACTACACATTACCAGAATATTTGACGTTCAACGGTTTAACTGGATTACATGGAACTGCTGGACGATTTGACCACATGAGATCAATTAGGTTGGTTTCTAATGGTACTAAACTTATTCCTTTATACTTTATTTCTTTATTAATTCTTCGCCACTCGCTGTAAGTTATCAGATTGGCATCAACTCCAATTCTTGAACCAGGTTTCATGTTTTTTGATAGCCATTCTGATATTGTTGGTGTGTCTGGTAAACCTAATAAACATTTAATTAACAAATTTTAAGACAATTTATGTTACATTTTTGTTGTCACATTGCAGTTTAGTTGCAACAATTTTTTTTTGTACTTATTTCTAATTAATCAAACAGTAATTTTTTCAAAACTGTTTGTTTTTAGTCCTAAGAGTGTTTAAAAGTGAAATTGTACACTACTATAACATAAACAAATACTATTAATTGAAAGCTTATGTGGGGTTTGTTAATAATTTTCTTCTTCTTTATTAACTTAACGGTCCATTTAGGACTAACGCTGTCATTACAATATCTCTATAGTCTTTTTATATGTTAGTTACTTCTTATTTTATATGTATGTGTTTCTCGGTTAAAGTTTGGTCCGTATATTTTATTAGTTCATAGTACTTTTTTTTCAAACGTTATTAATCTCATATAAGAGCGTTACAGTGCTAAAACCATAAAGCGTCACTCCTGGCTGTGCAGATACATACAAGAGTAATGCGTTTTGGTTTCTGCCGCTACTGTCTTTATAAGGGTCAAAAAATAACCTAACCTAACCTAACCTTGGGCCAAAATCGTTTTTTGTTAAGGCCCCTGGATACCGACCATTTTTAAGGAGTTTTGTATAGGCAATATTTAAGAAAAAAGTGGTTTTATTAAATTTTAATTATGTTAATTAATTTACCGGTTAATTTATATGAGCTTCATGGTATTATTTTTAATTTAAATAATTTTGTCTATGAGTAAAAGCCATTTTAGTTAATATAATAGTACATTTTTTGTCCATCGCACAGGCTGAACCAGTAATCCGATAAGTAATCTGAAAACAGATTTGAATTCGTCTTAAGTTTACTTGAGATCGGTCAGCGTACTTTTTTGATATCTTATTCCTACTACGCATAAAACACGTTTGAACATTTTATTAAATTTTAAAATCAAATTTGGAAAGGGTTAAAATTAAAAATTGAAAAAAGTGCTCTGACCGATCTCAAGTAAACTTCACGACAAATTCATATCTGTTTTTAGATTGCTTATCGAATTAATGGTTCACCCTGTGCGATGGACAAAAAATGATGTATTTTGGCTGAAAAAAACGGTCGGTATCCAGGGGCCTTAACATTGTTTTCATTATTTACTAAATTTGAGGAAACACCCATACATACAAAAATTATTTTCATGTTACCTAATTCGGTTAATTTATCAGTATGGGTGTATCCTTAAAACTTATAAAATATAAATAAAACTATTATAATTTTTAAGAAAAAAACAGGTAAAAACAAATTTAAATAACAAACCCATTTTCATAAGAGTCCAATTATTGTCTAACTGCTGATTAGCTTGTAAAAAATAACGACCATCTGTCCATAGTAATGCTTCATTTTGAGTAATAAGAGCCAAACCAGCAGAACCATTAAATCCTGTAATAAAAGCTCTACGTCCATCACTTGCAGCAATATACTCATTCTAAAAAAAAAAAAATATAATTAAATGTTCATTTTTACCATCGTTAAAAATAATATATTATTATAAAAGCAACAATTATGCTCACTTGATGTGCATCTTCCGATAATACAATGTAACCATTTAATAGTTCACCTAAATATTTCATCTTCAACAATTCTCGAAATTTTAATAAAAGATGTCCGGTACCAACAGCCATGATGCTACCAAAAAAATTAAAATACAATAAAAACAATACAAATTTTAATTACTATACATCAACTACACAACAAAATTTATCATTAACAGAATTTTCTTTCTCAATTTTCAAGTCAACATTTATTTTATTGATTTTTAATTGACTATTAGAATTCAGGTCTAGTAAGAAGATATTAATAAGAATGAGATAGTTGTCTCTCATTAATGTGGGTTGGTGATGGTTAGGGATAATTGTTTTGTTTTCAACACAAAGCTTAGAAAGCATTAATTTTTAATAGTTGCAATAGAATAAATATTTTAGAGTTAATTCTTAATATTTACCTTTATCAAATTTCATAAATCTTAATTGAATAAACAAAGTAGCTACTCAATGTTTTTTTTATTTGTTTTTGGAGTAAAATTTGTCCAGTACAAATTATATTCAAAAAGTAAGGTTACCACTATCAGTACAAATCGAAAAATGCATAATTGTTAATAAAATATACAGCACATATTACAGAAGTATTAAAATATCTTTGCAAATAATCGCTGTTCAGTTCTCTGTATTTAATGAGTCTTGGTACCAATTTTATTATTCCTGTGTCAATCGTATTTGTTACCACCTCTACAACCCATTTATTCACAGCATACTTGTATGGTTCGTATACCATTACTGGTTTTTGACTAATGATAACTTAATTTAAAATTTTAATACATGGTGTGTGCTGAGAAAAACCATACCTAAAAATATCCAAGGACTACTGCACATAAATAATGATAATGAGATTTTATTAAGATTAATATGTTGGTGTCAAAGTTAAAAACTGCGACAAATAAAATTTCTTATTCATTAACCGTTAACTTTAAAGATAAGAGTGATGCATAGAAACATCCATTTGGTGGTTTTGGTGCAATTATGATTGAAATATACAAAGTTATTGCACATATATTCATCATCAAATATTCAATGATAAAAACAAATATGTCAGCGTAACAGGCAGCCAATCAAAATAAAGTATATAAGTACATGGTAAAATACATTATAATTATAGTAAACTGATATCCCGTTACGCTACCATTTTATTTCTGATAGAACAATTTTGAGATGACGTACAATAATAATAATGTACTATATTATAACCATGGGTGCAACAAACCATTTTCTAAAAGAATAGATTAAAAAAAGAAATGAAAAAAAAAAAAAAATGGCAAACCCAACTAGTGTAAATAATATTGAAGTGTTTTTCTTATTGAACTCAAGTCCTTTTATCAAAAGCTACTTGTTGCCTTTAATGCCTTTAATTTATTCATCCCTATTTAATTAGACACTTCCATGGCTTACAAGTAGTATGTTTTATATATTACTAATTAGAACTTTATTTATACATTTTTTATTTTTCAATGGAAATTCTAAAATATAATTTTAATGAATGTGTTAAAAGTAAACACGTTCATATTATACATTGGCGTGACTAGACTTCATTGGCAGCAGCAGCCTAGCTTATGAGTGGCGCTACCTTCATAAATCGAAAAGAGCCCCTTAAACTCAAGGTCGTATTTTTTTAAGGGGAGGGGCGGTAAGTTCCCCAATCAAATTTAAAAAACAAGTATATTATCTATTTACAGTTAATAATTTACAGTATTTTCAGTACCTACCTTTGAATTTAACTCCAGAAATATTATTTATCTATTATACCACCTAGATACACATTAATCTAGTTATCTTCATTAAAAATAATCATATAATCGTATCCCAATTATGTAAAATTAAACGAAAACTATTATAATAGATTTAAACATTTTTACAACGTATAATGAATTACATAATTAACAAAATATATAATGTGTAAGTGTATTCAATAACAAAGTTCTTTAAATAGTACCTACATAACATGTAAAAATAATAATAATAGTAACAACACATAATATTTATAACATTTTATGACATATTTCAAAGAACAAGTCTTCTTTTTGTTGGAACATTTTTAAAATCATCAATAACTTCGTCAAAATTGTTATTACTCACCAACTCTTGTTTAATAAATAAAAATAATAATGCACTATTCCTTTCTTGTGTCATGGTACTACAGTGCACTTATAAATAATAATAATAAAACGTATATTTTAAAAAATATTTTACGAAAATATAAAAAACTTGGAAAAAAATATTTATAAAATATAATACTAAATTGCAATTTTTTATTTAAAGTATAAAATTAAATTAAATTAATTTTATATTTTAATATATATACTATTATAAATATTATATTCTAAACAGTTAATAAATATTTTATTTGAATACACTTTTAACATTTATAAAATTTAAAATTTTGGTCCCTGGGGCTAACGTTTGATAAACATCTAACATGGCTCGCATTTAAAACAAAAACGCAAATCGGTCAACTCCAGATTGCACCTTCTAAGACCACTATTAAAATTCAAATTGTCCCTATCAAATAAGTTGACTATATATAAGTCAATAATTGGTCCAGCCTGGCTCTACGGTATCCAACTATGGGGGACTGCTAAGCCGTCCAACACCAAATCCCTCCAAGCGTTTCAGTCAATTTGCCTACGAATAATTACCTCTGCACTTTGGTACGAAACAAAAACCTCTACAAACTAACAACCCTCAACGAACTGGCCAAATCCCACTGTACCAAATTTTACTCTAAACTACACTCCCATTCCAATCCTCTAATTAAAAAATTATCCTCTGTCTCACTTATTCCTAGAAGGCTAAAAAGGCAATGGCCCAGGGGGACCTACTTAATACATAAACATTAATTATTCTGGTCAGGTGGCACTGCTGAGAGCCTTTTGTATTCATACATTATTGTCACTGTTACTTTGTCATCAGACTTGCTGATTATACATATTTTGTATAGATTGTAAATAAAGAAAATCTTTTAATAAAAAAAAAAAAATGTTGGTCTAAACATTAAAATTTAAAATATATTATACAATATTATATTAACTTTTCATTTCAAATATTTTAAACTAAATTTAACTTAAATATTAATTTTAATGTATGATTGTGAATTGTTACATGGATATTTGGGTAAGGTCATGATTAATTTTCAGGTCTTTTTATCAAAACTTAAAAATTGAAAATTAAAAATTCAAGTTCTATTTTTAGTACATAGGTAAGTAGTTGAAACTTTTTTGAAGTTTGCAAAAGTGTATTGTTAATATATAGTGAACATTTCAAGTTTACTTTATTTACTTTTATGCCCTCGTTAATTATATAATCTAATGTGGGTAAAAACAAGAGTATAATCATTTTTATTAAAGGTGGTATTAATTAAACGCCGCCGTATGATAATGGGCCCCACTGAATACCTTGGGTGGGCCGGCCTAAGGCCGGACACATTATAGGGTAGGCAAGGCACACCCTAACCCCCCTTAGCTACGTGCCTAACACCACCACTCCACAACATGTCTATGAACCGTTTACTACGATAATTTTTTGCTGTCAATAGTTTTAAAAATAATTCATATAAATAGTGACAGTTACCCACAATCTACATACATATTATATTGCAATAATGATAAGTATGATAAATGGTCAGAGAGTAGAGGCATCAATTCGACAATACTACCTAATTTTTTTTTAACAAATCTTTATATCAATGTTTAAAAATCATTTAATTTTAATTTATTTGTCTAATAACTCTGACCGGCGCCTTTAAAAAGTTGCAAGGACAGCCCAGGCACCCTAGGCTGCCGCTGTAGGCACGCCTATGATATTATATCAAACTAAAAATTACTTGTTGTTAAACTATTAGGATGTAAGTCAATGAAGTCAAATTAGGTAGGTCAGTAGGCTGGTATCTAAATAAATATCAAGTGTCTCACACAAAGATAGTTCACACAGCACACCACAACTGTTTGTATCATTCTAGTCCTAAAGACTAACAAGATTCAGTAATTGTAACTGTGTAACTCTTAATTGACCCATAAAACCAACACATATAACATATCAATAAAATAAATTATTAATGACTTGTTATGTATTAAACACCGATAAAAATTAAGAATAAATCAAAATTAATTTTGTATCAAATGTGTAGAATTTTTTTTTTAAGATATACTATTAAGTATTAGACATACCTGAAAGATTTGTAAGGAGTACAAATGTCTTATTTAAGTAGATACATACAAGTATGAACACACGAAATCAAAATTAATACCTAATAAAATAATAAAAATGACACGGAAAATTGTAATGTAATGTTTATACTTTATTGTTAATGTGAATTGTGAATTATCCTTCTATCTTAATATTCTGTTATCTCATTCTCACAATATACCACAGATATATAAAATAAACTAGATTGCTAACTATAGCGATAAGAATTGAAGCCGACGATCCGCCATTCTGGTGGGATTTATGTGTGTTATCAATGCATATTATATATATCTGTATATATTATTATATCAATATTATATATATACCTGTGATTGTTGAAAACTTATATTATTCTCACGTGATAAGGTTCTAATTCCCACCAAGATGGCGGAAAGTGGCTGCTTCAATCTTCTCTATTGGTGGCATGTACAGTTTATTATATATATATCTGTGCACTATACTCACATTCCTGATTCCCATTACCATTCTACCTATCACAGTAGGTACATTGTACAATATTATATTGTCCTATAATTATCAGAAGCATTGCGCATGCGCATATTTAAGAGTGTACTGCAATCATGGTTAAAATTCTCAGGTTGACCGCTTACCACAATGATGACAACATCATAAGTTATTAGATAAAGGATTTTTTTTCAATTGTGTTTTGTTTTGAAATGTTAATTGTATAATGAAATATACGTATTCATTTAATATTTTGTAAAATTTAAATTAATCCAAGTGGTTGAAGTATTTAAAGCCGGTCGAAATAAATTCGAAATACAGGTAATTAAAATGTTTTTGGTAAAATTGTACAGTGTCTCAATGAGGTTAGGCATTCATGGTACACAAACAATCGATTTGATTACAAAATGTCCTAGGTACTGCGTTTATGTGCGCGCGTCTGCATGTGTATGTGTATGTGTTTTTCTTCAAATAAAAGTGGGATAGAATCTTCTAAGATCGTTGTCGGCCTTCAAAATATTAGCTAATTTATGTTTCCGCGGTTGTTTAATTATCACATTTTATTATTTACGCTATGTAATGTAATAGTTTAGTAAATGATACTGTGGCAAATTAGCTTAATACAATATTGAATACTGAGTGACATAAATAACAATCAAAATGGCAGATAACAAGAGTAACAGCAACAGCCAACAACAACCAATTGTTAAAATAGGACATTATATCCTTGGACAAACACTTGGTGTAGGTACATTTGGCAAGGTAAAAATCGGTGAACACCAATTAACTAAACATAAAGTAGCTGTGAAAATCCTTAATCGGCAAAAAATTAAAAGTTTAGATGTAGTAGGTAAAATTAGACGAGAAATTCAGAACCTAAAACTTTTCCGTCATCCTCATATTATTAAACTATACCAAGTTATTAGTACTCCAACAGATATATTTATGATCATGGAATATGTGTCTGGAGGAGAATTATTTGATTATATCGTAAAACATGGTAAACTTAAAGAATTTGAAGCCCGACGGTTCTTCCAACAAATTATATCTGGTGTAGACTACTGTCATAGACACATGATTGTACATAGAGATTTAAAACCCGAAAATTTATTATTAGATCATAACTTGCATGTAAAAATTGCTGATTTTGGTTTATCTAACATGATGATGGATGGAGAATTTTTAAGAACAAGTTGCGGATCGCCTAATTATGCTGCCCCAGAAGTAATTTCTGGAAAATTATATGCTGGACCTGAAGTTGACATATGGTCGTGTGGTGTTATATTATACGCGTTATTATGTGGTTCATTGCCTTTTGATGATGAACATGTACCAACATTATTTAGAAAAATTAAATCTGGTATTTTTCCAATACCAGATTATTTAAATAAATCTGTTGTTAGTTTATTATGTCATATGCTGCAAGTAGATCCAATGAAAAGAGCATCTATAGAAGACATTAAGAAGCATGAATGGTTTCAACATGAACTACCTGCATATTTGTTTCCTTCTCCAGTTGATAGAGATTCTTCAGTTATTGACACTGATGCTGTTAATGAGGTTTGTGAAAAATTTAGTGTTAAAGAAAGTGAAGTTCATAATGCTTTGTTAAGTGGTGATCCACATGACCAATTAGGAATTGCATATCATTTGATAATTGATAATAAACGTATTGCTGATGAAGCTGCCAAAGCTGAGTTAAAAGACTTTTATATTGCTAGCAGTCCTCCGCCAACCATTGGAAGTCCAGATGTATCATCTGTAGCTCCTACTGTTAAGACACATCCTGAACGATTTATGTCTCAGAGGGAACGAGCTCTATCTATTGATCAAACTGTACGTGGATCACCAATGAAAAGAGCTAAATGGCACTTGGGCATAAGGTCTCAAAGTAGACCAACAGATATAATGAATGAAGTCTACAGAGCCATGAAAGCATTAAATTTTCAATGGAAAGTTATTAATGCTTATCACATTCAAGTAAGACATATGAACTCTAAAACGGACAATTACACAATGATCTCACTTCAGTTATATCAAGTTGATTACAAAAGTTATTTGCTGGATTTCAAGAGTTTGACTAATGATCAAATGGAAAATGGCAACTTATCTACATCTGGCTTAGAACTCGATAACCAATCACCTCGCCAAGAAGTCATACAGCCACAAAAGAAATGTGTTGGACATCACACTATGGAGTTTTTTGAAATGTGTGCTGCACTTATTACTCAACTTGCCCATTAGTGAATAATAAGTTTAAATATTATTTATTGATTATAGACTAATTATGAGGTATTTATTTAAGGTATTATTAATTTTTGGATTGATATTTCATTTAATCTATTTTTTAAGTTATTTTAAAACATTATTGTTATATAAGTTATATTTTAAGTTGTGTAAAGATAGGTTATAAAAAAAAAATTTAATTCTTAAGTGCATAGAATGATTTTGTATATTTTTCATATTCTGCATCAATTTAGATAACACAATCATTCAAATTTACTCAATTTTAGTCATATATTACATTTAATGTGAGTGAAACAGAATTTAAATCTACACTGTTAAGTACTTATAATATCAGAGTAAATAATAGTAAAAGCTTCAATAATTATTTTAAATAATAGTCATTATACTTTTGTTTTTAAGGGAAAACGATTACTTTTAATAAAAATAAGAGGTATATTATTTTCATAATAAACAAATATAATATTTTAAATTTAAGTTTTTTTTTCAGTAACATCTTTATGAAAAATATGTTTTAATTTAAATGTAGAGTTATGTTAAGTATTAAAAATTATTTATATAAACAATATCTTATTTGTTACCATGTGATTTTTATAATTTTCATTGTTAAATTTAAAAGATCTATAGTTTATAAGAATATAATATATATTAATATTTACTGTAAATTTATATTTTTGTCTATTAATTTTAATTGTTATATTACTGTGTTGAAATTATCAAAAATTGAATATTTTTATAAAAATAAAATGCATAAATAAAAATAATTCTAAATTTATTGTTCAATACAATTAGGTTTTAATAATAATGTATATTATTATTATTATTATTATAATACATAGTGTCCTCAGCCAAAAATTAAACATTAATATATAGACCACACCGTATGTTTTTTTACTAGCGCTTTAGTGTACCAGACACTCAATTTATTTTATTAATGGGTTGCTTGACAATATATGCCATACTCTATATACAGGGTGATCAACTTGTCGTGAACCACTCTATATCTCACTGGGTTTAATTAATAATTGAATTTTTTTTCCATAATGTTTTTATACAATGTGATATCTTTTTGTTTTTACCCCCTCCCAACTTAGTTTTTTTTATAGCAACTTTTGAAACTTAACGCATACATTTCATTAACTTTTTAAATTGAGAATAATGTACTAAAACTTTTGACTGGTCGATAACCAGTTTTGGATAACTATTTTTAAAAGTTAAAGAGTTTAAAAGTTAGGATGGGAGGGGATGTGTGGTTAGGAAATGTGCGCAGATAAAAATAATACTACACTACATATTGTGTGGTTCACGATAAGTTGATCACCCTGTATAAATGGTTGTGTTTGTTTTTTTATCTGATCAATTATGATGTTATATAAATTTTATATTTAAAGGGATTGAAAGCATGCGGTTTTTTAGGGGTTTTTATATAGGCAATATTCAAGAAAAAAAGTGGTTATAATACATTTTGACCATGTCAATTTATTTTCAAAATATTTTATATAAGCTTTAGGGTATAATTTTTTATATATACTATTTTTTCCACGAGTAAAAGCCATTTTGTTCTTTTTAAAAACCAATTTAGATCTAAAAGCCTGACAAAATTATGCCTATTTAGAGTGTTCGGTTGTTAGATTTGTACAAATAGCGGGAAGTCGATTTTTAATAACTGTTTCGTATACTTAAAAAAGCAAATAATGGGATTATTATAAATTTGAGAAATTCAATTAGGATTTAAATATTAGTTGAAATATCAAAAATCGATTCCCTCAATATTCTAGGAATGAGGCCAATAAACTCGCATATTTTTACAGAATTGAAATCGAACCATCGTAAGTAGGCGTAATATTGTCAGGGTTAGGTCTTAAACGTCAAAAACACCAATCACTTTCAAACTCCTTAAACAAAATCGGGTAATTAGAAAATTATTAATTGATTAGTCGAAGACATAATAAATTATTAAATAATAGATTAATTGATAGTAAAATTATAATTTATTTTTCAATTATATGAATAGCTATATTAATTAAACTAAAAATTGGTTTATTGATTATTAACAAATTAGTTAGTGTCAAATGTAGAAACAAGGTTAAATTAGGTCCTAATTGGTAATTGATTAGATTTAAATGAATCATTGTTTTTTAACTCCAGAAATGAACTGAAATATTGATTACTTCATATGAGTTCCGATTATTATAAAAATTCATACAGCAATAGTTCATGGAATCTAACCAGATAACCTAATACAGGGTGGATTAAAAAGAATGCATGTTTTTTAAACATCTATTACTTCTTTTTTTTCAATAAGAAAAAAAAATTCATACAGATATAATCTGTAATAAACTTAGTTTTAAATGATAAAAACCATTTTTTGAATTTTGAAAGGCTATGTCAGGAATATGACACCCTTGTTGGATACTCATTTAAAGTGGTTCCTCAAAGTTCTGCATTTCTCTCAACTACATTACTACATTACTTCACAACGCTATATTGACATGTTGCATAATTTGTTACTTTAATAACTTTGCAAATGACGTATACATTTTAATTAATTATTAAAAATAAAACTTTATTTCCACCAAAACTCATAATTAGGTATGAAATTAAAAATAATTAATCGTTATTAAAATATTAAATTTAACATTCAAAAGAAATTTAAAAATAATAATAAATAAACATAGCAATATAAGGTGAACAAATATTGTTTAAAGTTTTAGTGTGTATAAAAGATCATTATATACCAGTTTCTTATCCAGCTATGTTTTCTATAAATTTCCTCAAAGGATCAACCCTTAATTAAAAATAAGAATATGATTTTTTACATCATATAAATTTTGTATCAATCTTTTATGTAATAATAATAAACATTTTTATATTTAGGATGCCGACAGTAGATGTCCCAGAAATCCGTGTAAAAACGGCTTTTAATGGGTAAGCCATTAAATATACATTATTATTTTATATACATTATTTAGTATATAAAACTATTTTATTAATGTTATGTTATTATTTCAGAGAAGTTATGATTACCTACATTGATCCACATATAACTGTTGATCAACTTCAACATGAAATGAGAGTAATTTGTAGATTTTCTGCAGATCAAGATTTCACTATGAAATGGGTTGATGAAGAAGGTATTTGAAATTGATTAGACTTAACAACTATAAATTACTCAGTTTAAAATGATCAATCGTTAAGTTGGAGTGCTGAAGTGTAGGCATCAGTGTATAATTCCCTCTGTCACTTAATTAGATGCTCAGCATGGGCGGCTCTGATTACTGGACAGATAGTAGTAAATATAAAGTAGCTGTTATGGACTAACAACTCATCTTGAAGGGCGAATATGATATGAAACCTCTTTGGACAAGGTGGCGGCAATGTTCCTCCTTTATGGTTAATAAAGCATTTAGTTGGATTTCGTATAATAAATTAACATACGATCCTACAGACATTTAACATGGTACCCTTGGTCCAAGGTGTTATATTATTTTGACTAAAATAAAGAGAAGGCAGTAGCAATATAATTAATTTAATATTAATAATATTTGTAGTTAACTATGATGCAAATCATTATGATGACAATTACTTTTTAGGGTACATTATACTTAACTGTGTTATTTATATATATATTTGTTTTTTTTAAATAACAGACAAATTTATAAAAAATTATTTTACATAAAACATAAATATGTGTAATTAACGTATATAAAACACTGTACTGACTAAAAATACATATAAACCTGACTTTGGCCATTGATGGCATTGTACCAGTCTTGTGAAGTTTTAATTGTATAGCTGGAAACTAACTTAACTGGTCGATGTCGATAAACATGTCACAAGTCAAAGGAATGTTGATATTGGCGATTAAACCAGTCTTATGACCCAGTTCTATGCTTCACTGCCAATATACAGGGTATTAATATAGAGTCTGATATCTATTTGTTTTACATATCTAATACTCAACTATTCCAGTTTTAGTATTTCAATTACAATTATTGTTGCTTTTATATTATCTTATCTTGTTTTCATACGAACATTTAATATTTTTAGAACATTTTTGGTTAAATAAAAATTAGAACCAGCTATAACCATTGAATTAAAACATTTTAAAGATACTAAAACTTAAACTAGAACTGATTTTATAAGATAAATTATTCTTCATATTTCCATTTAGTTAAGAATTAAATTGAACTATGAACATTACCCAAAAAGCACCTTAATTATACAACCTAAAAATGATGACATTTAGGAGGCAATGACATACCCGCATTTATTATAATCATTATTTTACTCAAAATTTCATTACTGATAAATTAATAAACCATTTTTAAGCCAGCGAGAGCATTTTTTTTTGCAATCTAATTGATATGTGTTTATTGGTGGCCTGGAAAAAGAGTTATTTCCCCAGCCTGCATTAGTACTCACTTCGTCCTTTGATAATGATTAATTTTATAACTCATTATATTATTTTTGGAGTATTCAGAAATTTACATGTTGAAAATCCATGCACGATATCAAATGTTGTTAAAAGAAACCTAATGGTGTGGTGGAATTTACACAATTTCCAATCAGTTTAGCGGTAAACGTATATCTGCGAACACACTGAAACTGATAAAGTTTTTTATAAATCCAACATAAATATTTCTGAAAACTCCAGAAATAATTTAATAAATCACTACGTCAGCCTCTTATTGTTTTGTTATTTCTATTTGTAGTGTTTCCTCAGAGTAATAATAATTGTATCTAATTATAAGCTGCACCTATCTCTCAACATTATTTTTTTTGTCACCAATCCTTGTATATCCGTCTGTAGTTCAACATTTCTGGTAACGAAATCGTTAAAAACAATAACTTAAAATCTGATTAGCATCACTAATCATCTCAGAGAAGGAAGATAAATTAGGTGAAACTAGATTTATAGTACATGGGTCAAATATCAATGCAACTTTTTTTTATGATCAACTAATTTTAAAAAAAAAATGTTATAAGTTATAACACGTTAATGTTTTTGTTTTTAATTGATATAACAATTGTCGATTATTTTTTTGTGTTTACAATTGCTTCGTTTTTTTGCCACCTGACTATATTATGTTTATAAATTCCGTTTGTATAATAAAATAATTTTAGATGATATCAATAATAAACCACTAACTGGCAATTTACGAGAATTACTTTCTCGTAGAAAAGAATAATTAAAAACGCTATAAATGGGAATCCGCTGGACTATAATATAATATATGCGATATGCAATAACAAAAATTTCTTTCATCTCCGCAGCTTTTATTTTCGAGTTAAGGATTACTAGTTAATGTATATACCAAACGGCTATAAAATGTTTTGGTCATTTTTATTCTTAAAGGTCGTTTAATTGTTTCAATTGGTAATTTCAAATCTTAAAACCACAAACCGAACCTAACCAGTAACCACAATTGATTTGTGAATGATGAATCGGAGATTTGAATGTTCTCAGGTTTTTCCGTTTCCTAAAATAGAAAAATTAAACATATTACCTTATAATTTGCCTATAATTCAAAAATATATATTTTTAAAATGAATGCCCCTAATTTTTTATTTATAATATTTAGGCGACCCGTGCATACTATCTACCCAAATGGAATTGGACGAAGCCGTGAGATTATACGAACTAAATAAAGATTCAGAGTTAACAATACACGGTATGTACAACAATTTTTTATGTTTTTACCAGTTAATAGTTGTTGCGCGTACTGGTACTCAAATTACTTTTATTTTTATTAAACTCACAAAGCGGGTGAAGTTTTTGAATCACACGCGTAAATAATAAACTGTAGGTCGTTGGATGTTAACTATACTTGTACCGTTTCATTAACTGTCATGGATCGAATGCGGGTAGAAAAGTGCGGAAAGGAAAAGGGGAGTTTTGTAACAGTGGATTCGGCGCTCTGGTGTTTTGATTTTAGGGTGGAACCCATACTGGCTACTACCAGCACGAAACTTGTGTAGCCTAATAAGCTCAATAGACATCGCGTTGTGTTTATAGTTAATAGAAATAAAATTGGTTCTCTTAATTTTATCAAATCCGTTTTTGCTTATTTATATTACTTGTAAGTTATTTTATTTTTTAACTAATATTTTGTTTTAATAATTTCGGAATACTATCGAGTGATCAAAGTTTTTATTTTTTTTTTTTTTTTGTATAGAAGTTTTAGTTGATAAGTTAGATATCTAGTTCTATGTAACTTGTGATGTATAAAACCTTTTGACGTTTATTTTAAGGATTTTCCTACTACTGATATTATTTTAGTATTTAAACATTGCAAAAATCGATAGGCCACTTACGTTTTTTTTTAAATACAATCTTAAAATGATGAATCATTTTGATAACATTACCTACCACGCATAGTACTAAGAACCAATTGAATTGTAGTGTAACTTGGAGGCTCCTAAACCAATACTGTTTATTTACTTCTACTTGATACAAAGTCCTTACATATATTTTCTTTGTTATCTTTTTTTATTTAAATTAGTTTTCCTATTAACATAAATATTAGTCTAATTTAACTCAAAATTTATATAAAGTATATTTTTAAGGTTTGGAACTAAAATATTTTAACATAGAAATAGTTTATTATGGCTTGGGGTTATTGGAGTGCATCGACTGTATCTGACCGTGGTAAATCACCAAAACGCCAATCTTCATCATTGAGCTATTACAACCATCATGTGCCAATATCAACACCAGCTCCTCTATCGACTTCCTACTATCAACATCAGCCATTGCATAGCACTAGCAGCTTTGGGTCTATTGAAGACGATGATTATCATCATACTTCTACATTTTGTCGTCGACCATCTCTTGGAGATATTGAATTTACCGGTCCTGGTTCTTTATCGCTATTATTAAATCAACAAGGTCCCGCTTCACGTCCAAGAACACCTCCAATACACAACCTTTATGGACCACCTACTTCATTTGGTTTACCGGAGTCTTGTGGTTCTAACATGTCTATACGTCGAAGTATAAATTGCTTTGGTTACCAATCAGCACCTAATATACAACATTATCCATGCAACGTCCATGACCCTTCACCTTCTCCTTCTATATCTGACGATGAAGATCATGTTTATGCTACAGGTACATTCCTGTGTATATCAGGCTTCTTGGTTTTTATTTCCCTTTTTGTTTTTAGCTGTGCTTAGACATTTTATAGTATGGTTTACATATTAGGTGTGTTACGATAACCTACAAAATTACATATATTATAGTGTATGTAAATCGTTCATATGTTTGTGATACACCCTCTATAACTTAAAATGTTAATGCATGTTTTAATTTATTTATCTAAATTTATATTGGTTTTTTATGTATGTTATATAATGTATTTTCAATTTTGCATGATGCAACAGAAACTAGTGCAATGTTATCTATACATTATTATAATAATAATAATTTTTATGTGAAAGCTTACATATATAAACCAAGTTAATACAGATAATTAGAGTTGTTAAAACTGTTTTAGTTTGAGTTCCATTGTGTGTTTTTACTTAATTGTATTATGCATGTAACCAATAAAATTATAATTGTGTAAATATCAATGGTCATAAAACAAGTCAAGACAATATTTTTCATAGTTTTCAAAAATACCAAAAAGGTTTTTATATTGTGTTTTTTTATTTTAGTAAGCGAAAACTATTAGGAAGAATTTTTTTTATGACTGAAAATGTCATTTTACATTTTTTGAGCTGGCCATTGTAAAACACTATTGATTATTTGTACCATATTCTAAAATTGTACTTGTATATTATAAAATGACTACAGCTAGCTTTGTGCATGTGCATTAGATGTAACTCATTTTTCCCTTTTCAATTGAGAGCCATGTTGCTTACAACATGCATGGACTGTTAATGCCACTTAGTTATTCTAGTCTTTTAGCCAATGATACATTTATACTTAATTTGTATATGGCGTCAAATATAAAAAAAAAATGTTTTTAAAACTCTTAGGATTATTTTTATATTAATTGTTCTATTTTACAAAAAAAATTTTAATTGTCCTAAAATTAAATGAACACATGTCCATTGTTGTCAGAACAAAGTCCATAATCATGACGTATATTAAATTATCCTATTTTATTATTAAATTAATATTAATTAACTTAAGACCAAAACACTAGAATATAAATGTATAAAATAGCAAGAGATATAATACTTAAATAAGTATCAACTATTTTCTTTTTTATTTATTAAAAAGAAAACATATATTTATAAGTTAAACCACATCATATTTTGGAGTACCTTCAGATTTAGTAATTTTAATATTAATGTGCCAGTTACATTTTATAAAAAAAATACAATTTTCAGATAATAATAGTTTGAAATGTAACATGCATATATTAATGTGTAGTGTTATCAATTTAATATAACTAAAATAATTTTTTTTTTTATTAGTTTTCCCTAATGTCCCTCCAGCACCAGGAATGCCTTGCCAAGGAGAAGATCGTAAGTGAAAAATTTAATTGAGTTAATAATCAGTTTTAAATTTTATTTTAAATTTACAGGTAGCATTTACAGACGTGGAGCTCGAAGGTGGAGGAAACTATATCGCGTTAACGGTCATATTTTTCAAGCAAAACGATTTAATAGAGTATGTAGAAAAAAAAATCAGTTATCAATTTTTAGCACACATTATAGCACTTAGATAATATCTCGATCATAATATTTATTAAATTATCTCTCATTTGTTCTTTGTTAGTGTTGTTTATTGAAATTAAATACATTCAATTTTAATATTGTGAAATTTGAGAAAATCTAATTATCTGCTACAAATTATTTTGTTGCTTTAATTGTGTGTACATATATTTTATTGGAGTAAGCTAATAAAAACGCTTGCCAATTCGAGGTCGACATGTAGACTTTCTTAATTTCGGAGCATTATTTTAAAAAATGTTATAAAAAATATATTTATAATTGAAAGGCTGCAGGGAAAAAAGATCATTGTCAATTTTTTTTAAAAATGAGATTTTGGTATGAAATATTTTGTATTGTATCTTTTATGCGCTCGAACCAGGGAAAAAAACAGATAAGTTGAGAATAATGATTGCCAGAAGTTTAGGCATACTGGCAAAATATATTACGTTTTGAAATTAAAAACATGATTTTCTCAGAATAAAAAAAAATTGACATTGATATTTTTTCCTCGCAGCCCTTCATTTATTTTTCAACTTTTTATGTATGTATTTATGATATTCAACTATAAAACACTGTAGTGAATGAACAGATAAAGTTCTTAAACTCTTCACTGCACTTCTACATGCCAAGGTGATTCTAATACGATTCTAAACAATAAAATCCATTCATCAAGTTTAGAGATCAAAATTGAAAATTGTTTTGATTGTAAAAAATTAAAAAAATTAATTTAATAATTATGAATAAAAACTGAACATAAAATAATTAATAACATAATATATAATAGGCATGTGTTATTTTTTTGGTATAGTAATTAAAAAGTTTACCTTATTATTTACTTAAATAGCGAGCATTTTGTGCCTATTGTCATGATCGCATTTGGGGACTGGGTCGACAAGGCTTTAAATGCATTCAATGTAAACTACTTATCCATAAAAAATGCCACAAACTCGGTAAAAAGACTTGTACTAATGACCCAATAATTAGTGATGACACTAATGGAGATTCGCAAACTACTCTAAGTAAGTTATTAGATTTTTATTATAATTTGTATTTGGTTCAAAAACATTAATTATTTTTTAATCAAATATTTTAGGTACACCGAGTTCTGATACTGCTTTACCAGATTTAAAAGATTATTCTGATCAAAACTCTGTTATAGATCAGTCTGCTGATTCTGTGCCTATAGAAGATCCTCAAGCCAAAGGTATCAGTTTAATTACCTTTATTATATTAATAAACATTTTAATTATTACAATTTTGTTACTCATAATTAGGGGATGATGAAGTTGGAGTGTCACGACAATATTCAATTGCTGATTTTGAACTAATTAGGGTAATTGGTCGTGGAAGTTATGCAAAAGTATTAATGGTAGAACTTAAAAAGACTAAGTGTATTTATGCTATGAAAGTTATTAAAAAAGCACTAGTTACAGATGACGAAGTAAGACGACTATTATACTCAATTATGTGTTTTAAATAGAAATAAATTTAATTATTCCTAGGACATTGATTGGGTACAAACAGAAAAACATGTGTTTGAAACTGCTTCCAACCATCCATTTTTAGTTGGTTTGCACTCATGCTTTCAAACAGCAAGCCGATTATTTTTTGTTATTGAATTTGTCCGCGGTGGTGACTTAATGTTTCATATGCAACGGCAGCGACGATTACCGGAGGAACATGCGAGATTTTATGCAGCTGAAATCAGTTTGGCATTGAACTTTTTACATACGAAGGGTAATAGATAAAAACTGCTTATATTATATGTATGGTTGGTTTATTATAAAAGTGGTGTAACTCCAAGTTTTTAAAATATACATAATTTTGCTTAATGGAGTCATATCTTTCATTATAAAAGAGAAGCAACTCCAATAAATGCGAAAATAAAAAACGTCTGAATGAATACTTGTATTTTTATTCATTCACATTAATTTTCAAAAAGCACGTCACTTCAAAATTCAATTACAAGGAGATAATTTACTTTTACAATGAACGACACATATAAAAACTTATATTTTGTCATTCTAAGCTACTATAAAATAAATTAAAAATGCACAGCTGCATATTGAAGTTAAAAAAAACATTGACAATAACACAACAGTTATTACATTAAGTATTCCAGTCAAATTACTGATATAACACTAAAACGATAATAATTATTATAGTTTTATACATTAAGTCCATTAACTTGAAAATTATCTGTTTTCTTTATAAAGAAATATAAATAAAAAGTAAGCACATTTATTTTAAGTTACTACCAAATATCTATCCGATAGGGGGACAAATTAGTGTAAGTAATTCATATTGTTATTATTTTAAGTTATTACAAGTCTCGTAAATCAGACTCAAAAAGTAGGTCTAGGATACAGTAATAGATTACTAACGTCTAACAGATAAATGCAAAAACAAAAGTATTGTAAAACAAGATGCAGCTAATTTTTTTTCTAGTCCATAATGACACTCCTTATGAAAAACAACACTTCAGCTCTTTGTTTATCCAAGCTATAGTGTTCTTTTTCATTAACACATTTAAATGTGCTGGTTTTCGTACAGAATGTTGATATAATGTTATAGTCATACTTTTTTTTTTTTAACTGTATTTCATGGTTATCAATAATAATAATTTGTAATGTAAAATTAAAGTATTTTAATATTATTATAATTTGTTTTAGGCATAATTTACCGTGATTTAAAATTGGATAATGTGTTACTTGATCATGAGGGTCATATAAAGTTAACCGATTATGGCATGTGCAAAGAAGGTATAAGAGCAGGTGACACAACTTGTACATTCTGTGGTACTCCAAACTACATTGCTCCAGAAATATTAAGAGGAGAAGATTATGGCTTCAGGTGTGTGATGATATTAACTTTTTGCTATGATATTGCCTCAGCTCCATTGATATTGTAAAATATATCAAGTTGTTTAATGTTTAAATAGTCAATTACATAAAAATAAGAACAGCAAGTACAGCTCAATATAGCAATTGAAGGGCTGCAGGGAAAAAATTATTTGTATTGACGTATTGTATCTTTTTTGCGCTCAAACCAGGGAAAAAAAGAGATTAGTCGAGAGTAACGACCGCCGGGAGTTTAGGCATACAGGCAAAATGTATTACGTTTTGAAATTAAAAACATGATTTTCTCAGAATGAAAGAAAATTGACATTGATCTTTTTTCCCCACAGCCCTTCAATTATTATTCGTATCTTTAACTTTAAGTCATATTATAATTAACAATGCTATTAATGTTAAATTAGGATAGTCGAAACAACTAAATAATTAGGTTAGACTCTAACTAACTTAATGTTATATTCTATTTATCATAACTACCACAATATTTTTAAATGATTCACTACTAAAACTAATTAATTAAATGCTAACAACTAATCTTGAAAAAACTTAGCAACTTATGGTTATATAAAAAAGAAATTTTTTAAAACCCTGAACCATAAAAATAATACACTCTGCGTATATGTATTTACAAATAACTATCTTATTATATAATTTATTCGGAAAGCAAGCTTAAAAGTATTCTGAAAATCAAGAAAATACTGAACTTAATTATGAGTAAAAATATTTATATGAGTGTTTCAAACTTGAACTAATGTTCAGACAATATTTTAAAGTCAATAAACTACATAACCTATGGAGTTTAAGTTCTATATGTATGCTTACACCACCTTACTTGTTTACCATTAGAAAAATAAATAACCATTTACTTAAAAAATACAAATTTAAAAAAGTTAATAAACTAATTGACATATTTGGTTCTCAAAATCTTTATGAACAAACATCCAATATGTCTATTTATTTAGAGAAAAAAAGTTATTATAATACACAATGTCAAATTCAGAAAATTATTTTAGTCATAGGAAAATTATACATTAAAAAAAATGTACAAAAGTGTTTTAATTATTTTAGTGTGGATTGGTGGGCATTAGGAGTTCTTTTATATGAAATGTTAGCTGGAAGAAGTCCATTTGATATAGCTGGAGCATCAGAAAATCCAGACCAAAATACTGAAGATTATTTGTTCCAAGGTAATAATAATACTAACTATTATTTTAAAACTATTTTGCTGTTGCCTATAATTTTCAAAATCTTGGTTTTAGTTATTTTGGAAAAAACTATACGTATTCCAAGATCTCTCTCAGTCAAAGCCGCTTCAGTTTTAAAAGGATTTTTGAATAAAAACCCAATTGATCGTTTAGGATGCAACCGTGAAACAGGATTTTACGACATTATAACTCATCCTTTCTTTAAATCTATAGATTGGGAAATGGTATGCTATTTTACTATTTGTTATTTTTTTTAATGTTATTATTGAACTTGTTTTAATAATTTGATGATACAGATTATTTAGATTGGTTTAAATATTAATATTTATAATACCAAATTGTATTATAAATAATGTGTAGTAATAGATAATGATATTTAATATTGATACATTGTGTTTTAGTTGGAACAAAAACAAGTCAGCCCACCTTACAAACCAAGACTAGACTCTGATCGTGATCTTGCCAACTTTCCTCCAGAATTTACTGATGAACCTGTTCATCTCACACCTGATGATCTGTAAGTACTTTTATCTTTATACCTACATATCCCTATGATACTATGTATGAGCATACTTTTTTGCCCTCATACCTATGAATCGGTGGTACACGATTGCGAACGATTGTTGGTGGATCAAAAAAAAACTATTTTTACCAAAAATCAAACGATTGCGAACGATTTTTCGTGCGACGTTGTCAAATCGTATAACAATAATTATAAGTGGCACTTTATCGGTCATAATACACTAAAAGTTTTATATAAATACAGGGTAATTTTTAAATTGATCCACGCAATATCTCACTGGGTTAACCAGTTTTTAATAATTAATTTTAAAAGCAATTAGAGATTGAAAGTTATGATAGGACGGGAAGTGTGATTGAGCAATGAGCACAGTTCAACCAATTTAAATGTATATAATGTAACTATAACTATTGATTTAAATGATTGACGAATTATAATTAATTATTTTTTCTACATCCAATTTTTTTTTTTTCAATATATATATTATATTTTAGTATTTTACTTTTTTACTTCAGTTAAAATAAATTTGTATCTACAGTATCATCTTCACTAACATTTTTTTTAATTCTTTTTTTACTTCTTCACAATTTAAAGTACTATCATGTTGGGGAATTAAAACAAATTATAATTGTATAAAATAAATTTCAAAATAAACATACATACAAACGATCACCAATCGTGGTAAACACTAACTAAATGAAAGTTTGTACACATAAAGTTAGAATCGGTCTATTTTACCGTTGATAGCAACAAAATTATATTGAAAAATACTTTGTCGGTATTGTCAGTTTTAGAAATTTTGGGGAAGATAACAAATATTTATGATTTATATTTGTTATAATAACATTATTATTTTGTAGTCTTTGATAAGACTCATACGGCGTCGGCAACGTTGCATGAGAGATAGCAGGTAAAAACGTTCGCAATCGTGTTTCACCCCTATGAATATATGTGTTTTTAAAAATGTATTTATTACAAAATTTTAACCACATTTCTGTGTTTCACTGCATTCAAATTATTGCGAAACCCAAAAAAAGAAATGTGACATTTTTTTAAGGGTGTTGTCCATCTATATTCTATACTATAGTTAACCAATGTTATAGTTATTAGCAGAGTACGATTATTGCTCAGTGCTCACCATCTATTTGCACCGCATATGGTAGTCCAAATTTTTTCGTATCTTGGACAGTTATTGAAAAGGGCTTAAGAGTTGTTAAATGCTCAATTGATTTTGATGGTTTTTAGATTTTTATTTCTACTTGTAGTACATTTACGTTTTTTTTATTTATTATTTTATTTTTTTTTTTAATGTGCTATTATTGAACAACAATTATACAGCTATGTAAAATAAATAATAATTTTACAATTTATATGAATTTAAAACAAAACACAATTAAATAGAAAAAACAGCTTTAGAAAGAAAGGATATTAGGAGGACGATAGCGAAAGGACAACGGGAGTTTAAAAGAAGAGAGTGATCAAGAGAGGAATAGCCGAGCATTTATCTACGTTTTTAGGTTTTCTGAAAACGGTTAGTTTTGTAAAACTAAAACGGGTATAGACAACAAAGTTTTATAATTATACATCGTTTATGACAAAATGATTTTTGCTTGAAGTGTCAGAATGGAATTTGTGGCTGACAACCATAAACAATACACAAGAACATATTACGTTATTTATGTATCATTAGCAGCAAGACTTGTGTAAAATGCAGCTATAATCTAAAATGTTAGTCGAACCTTTAATGTCAATAACAGAGATCGCCTTACAACCCATTCTCCAACACCTCCGGTAATACTCATTTTATTCAAATGTCTTCACTAAAAGCTCACAGAAGAAAAACTTTCAGTTCAAAGTTGCGTATTTTTATAATATGTTTCTAACTTTTTGTTTAAATTCAGTTTTACTTTTCTAATAAATCCTCTTTTTGTGTATTACATGGTGTTTTATTGGCAATAACTTAAAATCAAACTTATTCAATTATGCATTTTAAACAATTTAAAAAAAAAAAATAGTCCATATTATAAATTATTGTATAATTTAATTTTATATTATTTTTTTGACGCTTTTACCAATTATTTACTCAAAATTAATAGCCATTCTCACCAATTTTGTATAAAAATTAATTGTAAAATAATTGTATCTCTAAATATTTTTGCTTACCTAATACTATAGGTATCTAACCGTTGCATTTATACTGAACCATAAATAATACTTTTGTTTAAAACCGAATTCCTGCTTGTCTCTGAAATATATATGATCAACATTTTTTTTTTTTTGCCAAAAAATAATATATTATTTCTTTAAAAATCCACATTCAGTATTCTTCTTCTTGGAATTCCTCTCCTAACGGAGGTTGGAAATCATCATATTAATCTGGATTTTTATTAAACAAATTAAATATATAGAACTAGAGACTTTCTTTTAGTAAAACGACAACAATTCATTTGTTTTTTAATTGTTAGAATATATGCAGAACGTAAACTAAACCGCCGTACTGGTCTTTGGTCGTATATTTCGCTATACGATTTATAAAAGAGTCATTATAATGACGACGACGGGTGATTCTGGAGTATTTAAATCGACTACTTCTAAAACTCGAGTAGGGTTCTAACGGGAACATAATAATAACAAACGTTTTGTGTTCTAAGAAGCACACGACTACCGGTCCACCGAGACTGGCATTGTTTTAACGAGGAATTATATTATAATAATTATTTGTCCCCGCAGAATCCCCGCTGCCTGCCGTCTCATTTCACACGTCTTTGTTCCCGTTTCCTGTGTGTTTTTTCACCTTTCTTCTTTTAATTGCTACCCCTGAATTACGTCCGGAAAAAAATCAGCTGCCATTCAGCGAGTTTCTCAATCGCCGTCCACCGAGGTCAAGCTACCTCCGACAAAAAAAAAATTAAAAACGCCCAGTACGCCTCCTCTTTACAAACCACATGCGAATCATCGTCCATTGTCTTACAATATTTCAAATAGTAATTTTGTAAAAAAAAAAAAAAAAAATATGATTCATTCCTTCCTCCTGTATATTGTTCACGAATAAACTTATTTATTAGCTGTCGATAAATACACGGGTCTGGTGGCCGCTTTTCGTTAGACATCTCGGTTTTTGCGATGTTAGTCTACAACGTAAGCAAAATGACTAAGTAAAACGCACGTATATCATACAATAACGCGACTGCATCTGTATATCCGGTCGAACGTATGCCTGAAAACGAAGAAAGCAATAAATCAGCAAAATATCTATTCTTAGAGCGATTTGCAACCGAGTTGCTGATAAAAATGCACGTTTGCGGCGCTTAAACGAGGCAAGTAAGGCGCTAATAATAATAAACATATCTAGCTGGCTATCGTGCTAGCTGGCACAAAAAATTGGAATACTGTATAAAATAAAAAAACTACACGGTGTTTTCAAGAATAATCATTCCTCATAAGTAAATTTTGATTTGAATGTGTTAAAACAATCATAATTGAACCATTAGTTTGATTTGTCACGACGATTATGGTATTATATTATTATTATTAATACTAATTATTATGATCTCTGTTTATTATTATTATATTTCTGCGTTTCTACAAGGGAAATATGTGTAAGCATCATCTTCTAGTGCCAGGATTTTTTCTTTTCATAATTCCGTTTAACCTAAATATTGGACGAACGTCAAAAACAAACAATATGGTTTTATATATTTTCCAATTTTGGGCAGTTCGATCCTTGAACAACAACGACAAATGTTTTAGTTTTACAAATATTTGGTTATTATTATTTGCCGCCTTTTTTTTGTGAGAAAAATACTATTATACTATACTAGCTGTTTGTGCTCCCGGGTTAAAAATTATAATTGCAAACTTGCCTATGTATCAAAATGGCGGCTGACTGTTCATGGCCAGACGCGCTAGTGCCACTACGGCGGCCGTATGTAACTACAAAACCTGTAAACCGTATTATATTTACAATTGGTAAAGACCCTCAACGCTTCTGAAATAAATCTAGCTGGATACCTGATATTCTACTACTAATATTTGTTACTATTGATACGTAATCTGGTGACAGACTGTTAGCTTAAAAATTCATAAAAAAATAATCAATTAATATTACGAATCGATAAAATCATGCCTATGTGTTTCTCTGAAAAATGATCTACAAAATAAATAAAACCGAAATTTAAATCGAGCCAGCAGTAGTTTCCAAGATTACCCTGGACACAGAAAAGGTACTTTTTTAGAAATGATATAGTGATTACTATAGAACATTTTATCGAATGTTAAAAGAAATGAATTTAAATTTATAATAAATAGAATCAATGAAACGTCAATTGTACAATATCTATAGTATGTTTAAAACTTACACAGAGCAAAAATTCACGCATTTAAAAATGCCTAGCAATTTTAAAATTCTAGTTCTAAACCAACAAAAAGAGTGTTTGAGTTGAGCACTAATAATAATACATAAACCCAATAAATAGATTAGCAAAGGAACAGGCAATAATTGTTTGAAAAAACCATGATTCTTAAGAGGAAAAAATATAAGGCTATTTGTTTAAATATTCTATTTTTATTTTCCAGTAATGAAGTTGTTATATTTTGAAAACATGTATAAACTAATATAATACATCATATGAGTTTTTATTTGTGTATTTGGTATTTAGTATGACAATGATTATTCAATTACAAAACAAAGTTCAACGTTTAAGCATACATTTGTCAACTAATTCAATTAATATTACATGTATCAGAATTTGATTAGACAATGATTTTTATAAATTAATTTTGTTACACTGTAAACTCGTAAATTTTGCTAGTGGCATTCTCAAACCACAAAAAAACTTCTGTTTATTCAGACAGTCGACGAGGCGCGTTTGTACCTTTTTACATTACATAATAAATTGAACGCTTGATCTATATCGTACTTGTTTCCCGCATTAATATCTTGTGTTTGTAGTTTTCACTTTTCACTTTTGAGGCCTGTCCGAATTGAACCCAAAAAACTCCTATTATAGCGAGTGCGACATTTGCATATAAAACGACAACGTGGCTCCAAACGGGCGCGCCATTGGTTTTAATAACGGAGACGGTGACCCACAGGCATAATATTTTCCGCTGCAAATCGCCGACATCGTAAAATGCTGTTGGTGCTTTACTAGTATACACACATCGCACTCATATAAACCCATTATTTAAAAAATAACTCCCTCTTCTCATTTTATTTATTTACGACCGCCAAATTTAGTGCGGATTGTACAAAATTCGTGTTATTTAATATACTCAAACGACAAACCCTGATTGTTTTTATTAGTAATTATATTTTTAATGGGTATAAAAAAATTATACGTAGTTGTATTAATGAAATTTAAATATCTATTATTCTTAAAAGTCCAATCTCAACTTACGGGCAAAATTTTAAATATGTTTACCATACAATTTGACAATATCATGTGACTCATCGGGATGGGATGTAAAATGTAGTACAACAAAGCTTATTCTTTAAAATGATCATTAACAAGAAATTCCAGACCGAGACTCCGTTAAGAAAATTTTAACTTTATTGCTAATTTCTCTAAAATGAAGTTACTATAAATGTGAAATTTGAAAAATACAAAAAAAATATGCAGGTTCTACTAATGGATAACATTTTAAATATATTTGTATTACTAATTTTTTAAATAAATAAACATTACACTGATTGTGAGTATAATTAGTGAAAATCTATTATTCCAATATCCTGTTAAAAGTTTTTTTTAGAAAAAAGTAAATTATCCTTTTTTACCGTGTACTTGTTACTGAGTATGTATGTCCATCTTCACTATTTTCTACGTTGAATAGCAAGTAGTAACATATAAACTGAATGTCAATTATCTCCTGTCTTATCTCATCTTAAATTAACGTTGTTGACTAGTCAATATTGTTCATGAAATTGGTTCTGCTCAGATTATAATTTACGAAATTTGGACTTGTTCCTACGACGATCACGGGTTTAGCCAGAATATACAGTTATTATGCAACACGCTGTTTCAAGCGAAAAATAATTTTTATTGGAATACAAAAATCGAAATTTGTCAAATAAAACTCGAGTTGAACGATAACATTATGGTTAATGATACATTCATCGGTGTTATCGTTTTGACATATTTACGATTTTTAAATTACAAATTGAAGGCGACCGCCCAAGCAGTGTGTGTCAATATTTTACAGTAACGGTTACGCGGAGGTCAAAGGGACACGTGTAATTTGTCAGTACACGCGCAATTATTCAAATTTCTGTTATGCCATTGTACACTACTACGCTATTATTACTGTCCATTTCCATTAGACACATCCCCGGGGCGTGAGATAACATGTTCCCTCCGCTCGTTTTGACACCTCTCGGTTCATTATCATGGTATTTTTTTTTTTTCACTCGTCACCGTCTCCAGTTTCTCTGCTGTCTTCTTCGCCCGTTTGTTAGTAGACCCTTTAACAGTTTAGTCCACGGCTCATTTAGCACCCGAATATTAGCATATCGATTGTGAGAGAAACTCGGTACGGGTGGACGAGAGTATATGCATTTTTCCTATCTTTAGTTACAGAGCTATAGCCTACAGGTCTGTATGTATGTATACATTAGTGCGTGTGTGTACTATGCGCGCATTGTATTGGCTATTTTTTAAAATCGTTTTGGCGGTACCACACACACACGCTCTGAAAAGTGTCTGGTACTTTTATTTATAGAGCCGACTCCCAGGGGCGCGTTCTGAAGTCGAAACACATGCAAGCAGTAAAATACAAAATAATAATAGAAAAATTGTCTACTCTTAGTTATTATTTTATTATTATTTATAATAATATTAATATAAATGTCATAACCGAACGTATTTCACGCGGCTTTCGGCCAAAACCTGACGGATTAACCGCAAATATTCACAGCAGTCGCAGAGTTCTCTAAAAATAATTTCTGTTCGTAGCGGTAGTTGTCACTCCGTCTAAACCATAGTATAGAATTCCAGAATACTATAATAGTACTTGCATAAAGTTTTCTTGTTAATAAAACATAATCAGGTTTTTAAGAACGAAACTAACGCAGGATTAGGGGCCATTTGCGGCGTCTATAAAAAAAAAATAGGCATCATTTTATAAGCCAGGAGGTACTAATCGATTATTTCAACCGAAAAAACAATATTCAATTTATATAATATAGGTACAGGGTACTAAGAAATAATATTTAACTTTAACTTATTTCTCAGAAATATTATTTAATTTTAAACTGTACCCTAGAATAGGGTTAGAGGTTTTATTATCCGGTAATATTATGGTCTGCTGTTGTAAATATTAAATGGTAACGGAAAATCTTCTTGGAATTTTTGTTTTGGATATGTTTTTACGATCGCTGCCCGGTAGTTGATTGGCATTGAACAGCGGGCCAAAAGGACGAGGAGAAAAAAAATAGTCGTAAAACCTTTGTGAAGACCAATGTCTTCCTTAGTTGTAGTAGTCGCTAACAGAACAACAGCCCCTTTATTACTATCGTTATTTAGAAAAAGAAGAACTCATTTATACGATCGGGTATTACCTCTAGAGCGCCAAAAATTTTACGATCTATCAACGACCCCTCCAATGGCAATCCATACAACTGCGACAATGGAAAACGCTGAAAAAAGAGTCGGGGGGGGGGGGTTACAGTTCTCGATACCCACAACAAGCAAGCTTTAGTCTTTTGTTTGAGATATCTTAAGTCGATAACGTTTAAATGCCAATGCTATTACGTATATAGCTCTCAGCCACTCTACCGTTAGCCGTCATCTCGTTTGGTAATTAATGTTATAACTTATAAGTTATATACGTTTCTTCGTATGCACAACGATAAAATACAAGCTACTACATTAATTAAAAATCAATTTGTTTTTTTTTTTTTTGGTATTTTGTAGTGATCTCTTGTTGAGCACCTAGTAAATATAAATCCACCATAATTCATATTAAACAAAACAATCGCTGAATTGCGCAATTCTATTACTCTTTATGGTTGTCAAACGCTATACATTACGCATATTTTACCTATTCCAATCGGTTCAATGGACTGACCGTGTTTCGGTAGTTAGCTTTGTTTGTTCGAATTTCGATCACTATTCTTAAAATATTTACAACCACGTTTATAGAACAGGATATTAATTATCGTTAAGGGCAGGGCCCGAGAGTCTATATTTTTGAACTATCCTCTACATTTTTCGTAGTTATAATCTAGTAAGTTCCAAAACAAAGATTTGTTTTGGGCCGTTAGACGCTAGTTTGCCGTCAGCCTTAAGTATCAATTCGAGCGTGCTCGATGATAAAATTAGAAACCCGCTGCACTTAAACAAATGAACGCTTATCAATAAAAACGCCTCATTAAACATAATAGTTGTTCAAACAAATTATAGATTTTATTTTTTAATTATGAATTTACTATTTTTTTTTTTGTATAATATATCAGTATAAAAATGGATGGATTACATTTGTCGTTGATCGTTGACTTTATTTTAATGTATTTTAAATTGCTTATTGTTACAGACGCGTGATCGAGAAAATTGACCAGTCTGAATTCGAGGGATTCGAATACGTGAACCCTTTGCTGATGTCGCAGGAAGACTGTGTCTGACACGAGGAGGAGTGCGTCGATAGTTATTCGGCGCCCCATCACCATCAATACCATCACGAAGCTGACTGTCCCTGTTCAACGACGATCGACTCGCCCCCAAACAACGGTGGTAGACCGTCGTCTAGGGGATGGTTCTGCTTACCCCTCCGATAATAAAACAAATTTCCACCGGAACACTTCACTTAACGTGTGTCGACTGCATTAAGTTAGTCGCGCATGCAAAAGCTCAAGATATTATAGCCGATTTTTTTCGATTATTTTCCTCCCGTATTATCTTTTTGGTTCCTTCTCTCTCACCTAACTCGCTTTGTTATCCAAAATGAGGCACACGAAACGTGTGTGCGTTTTGACTTAAATCTGGAATGGAGACATAACCGATAGTATAATTAAAAAACTATTTTGTAAACAACTGTTTTTGAAAATGGACAACTAACGCCGTAACTAACTTTCTTGTGTATTTACAAGTCGTACGCCTTCAGTTATTTACTGAGGTTTACCTCAGTAAATAGCAGGTTTTATTTTGTGTATATCTTTAACAGTTCCGGCATGCGGGCAAAATCAACTTGTATGTTCTAAATATACCAAAAGTTGTTTTTTTACTTATCATAATATTAAAATAATTGTGAAATAGACAATTTCCAACCCCTTTAATCTAAGTGATAGATTTAATGTATTCGTATGTAGTCGGTCATTGCTTATTATGTAAAAAAACAAATAATATTTCCCGTGCGATGATGCATTGAAGACAAAATAATATTATGTATGAGATTTTTTCTGACAATTACCGGGACTGTTACAGTATGCACATTTGTTTCCGATGCTCATTGATTGATTAATCAATCTAACATAACTACATTCCTTGTTTTCATTTCCATTAGTTATAATAATAAATAATAATAATTTTACTATATTATATAGATACAAACTAAATTTTAAAGGTATCTCGCACTATAATACGATACAAGCACACATATTTTATATTATTTCTTATCAAATAACTAGACACTATTATTTTTATATTCGTATATTATATAATTAAAAATATAAAGGTTTATTTTGACATTTATTTATTTTTATCCGATAGTATTATTTATTATGTATACCTAAGTATTAACACTTCTATTCCAACCAGCCTATTATATTATGTTTGTAAAATTCCTTAATAAAAGTAATATACTACCACCCCGTTCTTATTAGAATGTGGTTTTGAGTTGAGTACATTTAGATGTGTTCTTTTATACATTGAAGACCGTATTTGTTGCTTATATAGAATATGTATGTATACTATATATGTTTATATATACATATATTTACTCAACTAACATTGTGTTTATCATAAAATTCTTAAAAAAACGTTTAAAAATGTTGTTTGGTGTTACAAATTTTAATGTATATTGTGATTATTATATCTAATACTTACACATTATCATAAAGTATTATTATTATATATTATATTATAAAAGTTATAATATGGTTGTTGCTGTATTATACATTATACACGTATTTATATTATATAGAAAAATAATTATAAAAAAAAAGTTGCCATGTTTCTTCGATTTTTAGGGGAAAAAAATTATTTAATCCTATATTTTTGATCATTGGCATTGCATTTGTTTCCTGTGCACAAATTGTTGCTATCGAAGTGTATTCAATTGTCATTAACGACCATTGGTACCTATTCCGCTTAAATGGCAAACTGTCTGCTTTTTCACGGTTCAGATAAAAAAAAATGTTCAACGGCAATCGGTTACGTTAATTTTTTTTTTTTTTACCAACGAGGCTGACGGGCATCGCTTCGACCGTGGAAACGACAAAACGCCACTTTCGAGTCGGGCGGACTTATTTTTTCCTTAAAAAAAAACTGCACGTCAACGACCTATGGCGCTTACGGGACACACTGTACGTACAATACTCGAGTCGCCATCGACATAGTACCTGGCCTATATAATTTAATGCCATTATGAAGCGGCGTTGAACAAAAGAGTTTGTAAAAATAAATAAAAAAGTTTTTTATCGTCGCGAACATTTTCCCAAACACGATTTCCGCATGCCGTATGCCACCGGGGTGCGGTGATGTCGTGTATCGTGTGGGGAAGACGAGTTTATGACTAATAAACATCACGGCAAAAAGGCAATTTACGGACATGGAACAAGGGACGAGACGGCGGACGGTTCGGGGTGTAATGAGTGCGAGAGAAGCGCCAAAAATCGTTCTACATGCGCTCTTGACGTCCACCGCTGTCGTTGTAGGGTTGTAAAAGTGACTAGATTTTATTCACCCCGGGCGTCGTAATTTTTATAATATTTTTTTTTTTCTTTCTTTTTATAGTTATTATTATTATTATTTATACCATTTTTACTTTGGTCCCTTTGGGTTTTCTTTCTTTTTGTTCGTCACTAATATTATTATGTATCGGAACAATGCGTCGTTTCATGTGGAACCCTTGGTTTTTATTAACGAACGTGCTATGCATCCATATATTATCGTAATAACTGTGACTATAATAATATACGTACACAAGCTACCGTCACTATGTGTTATAATATTTTCAACCATTTTCATTACCAAAATACCGACGTTAATAACCAACGTAACAACTAAAACGTGTGAGGCCGTTGGGTTTTTTTTATACCTAAACAATTAAATCGACAAAAAATACGCGTCCGCTAACGGGAAATAATTTGTCCACAATGTGATGTTTGCATGAAAATTTGTGCTACTTGTCAATGGCCACAAGTCGCAACAAAATAGAATAAACGAAAAACAACTAGATCAATGGACGTGGACCACACAGGTACAGGGTACTCATTAAAATATATTCGTGACACGGTTAAAATATAAAACCAGCAGAGAACAAATTTAGCTATAAATATTTGGAATTAAACAATATTGTGTATTATATAAAATATTTAAGTTCATTGTACAACTATAAAATTGCAATGGGGAATTTGAATTACATTCAAGATTTAATAAGCGAAGTGCATTAAAATATATAATAATAAGTAAAAATTAAATTAAAAAAATCTGTTTTTGAACAAGTTTTACATTTTACTAAATCTTGTACAAAACTGTTTATAAAAGCGCCATGTTAACTACCGTATTTGATCTATGAGCAAAACCGACTGGTTTCGAAGATCAAGTCACTAATCTCCATAATACAAAATGGTCGATTTTGTATAGCAGGCGAAAAATATGTGGTACACTTTTGTGGCGCCTTTGATGTGATGTAAGTTTGTCTGCGAGATTGCAGTTTGTGCATGCTATATTATATTGTCATGCTTACAAATCATCTAAATATCCAACTGATTACTGATATTACACAAACCCCCGTGGGTGATGTGGTCCCTCATCTTCTCCAGTTGGCGATTGCACATAAAGAACACTGGACTCTGAAAGTAATTCTTCCCGTGCCAAAGTAGTGACTGTTTTTGGGTCTTCAGGGTGACCATGTTTTTTTCATCTGTGTCCAATATCAAAGTTTGACCTTTTGGACCCACCTCCGATTTATGATAGATCCTCCATTTTATGGTTTGTGCTCCGGGTATTGTTTGCCCAAGATGTCTAGACCTCTATCTTGATTAAACGCGATAAGGCACGCCTTGATTCCAGCAAATGGATCTCGGCATTTTCCCGTGGCTCGATTAGTCGACGCTTTCATGGAACCATTTCACGGATGACTGATCCGTCAACTGCTGCACTGATAAGTAAAACCTCATCACTTAGCCTTGTGCTCTCATACCTTAGTATTACCTAGGTTAGCGACACAGGCTTTTTTCCAATTGCCATTGTTCACTTGTAAGCCAATTTCCCTCGTTGTCTTTTAATATTATGGCCGCTGCATTCCGGTGTATCGATTCCCGCCGTTTGACTATTTTGAGTAGCTCATAGTTGTCCACCTTTGATTTTGTAGTTTTAGTTCTTTCTGATATTTGATACACGCTGTCGCCAGCGCCGGCCCGGGCCAGACTACCGTTGAGAGTAATCTGTGCCGCACCAACCGATACCCCCCGACGCACATCAGAAACCGTGAGGTCTCATTTCGCGCCGGGTCCGGTGTTACACGTCGCCCGACATTGGGGGCACCTAAGGGGAAGAGCGCAGGCCGCTCAAAACCCCTCACATTTGCCTAGCTACCATGTAGCTGTACGGAGATCAACCGGACGTCATGAGAGGCTTATCTGTCGCGTCCGACAGAGTTGTCAATTTGGGGGTGTACAAGATTACCCGAGTCTTGCCGCGGTACTAGACAGATTATCTCCGCCTCTCTCTCTCTCTGTTCGAGAATTGCCCGTCCAAAGGATTCGAGCGCGGCGAGGGCCGCCGGCCACGACATGAGGTCCGCGGCGTGCCAGGGACCTGACGCTACCGACCTGTACAGGGCCTCGGTCAATTCAACCCTCCGTTCAGCGTGTAGCGGGCAATGTGTGCCAGCAATCCTCCGTGGAGGTGCGGTCACATTCACAATATGCAACGCCACTAGGGCCAAGCCGATTTAAGTATGCTTGAAACGCGCCGTGTCCAGTCAGAAACTGGGTAGCGAAGTGTCGCGGGGGCTTCCACTCCGAACCCAGAGTCTGACCGACCCCCGGTAAGTACGTATAGGTAACGCGGCCCTCCTGGGCGGCGTCCCGTCGATCTCGCCAGGCCGTGACGAGACTAGTTTTAGTTCTTTCTGTGAATTTCCACCAGAGATTCCTTGGTCTAACAATTATAGGTGCACCGCCGCATTCGCTTCTTTTTTTTTTTCTTTTCCGAGCTCTGCTAAGCTTTTTGGGCTTGGTCCCCACTCATTTTCCAACGTCCTCCGGCTGTTGGTTCGTTGACTCCCGGTCTATAGTTTGGTGTTCCTCGGTCGACTTGCTTTTCAGAGGTTCCACGATTATGAATCCGTCTTTCTGAACACCCAGATCTTCCGGTATAAATCGCCCGGTGCCATGTAGATTCCCAATAGACGTCTGACTTAACCTTCCGGTGTCAGTTTCCTTGGTGCTGAGAAGGAGGCCGATTAGCTATTTGCACCTACCTATACCAACTAATTAAAGTCAAGAAAGGCTCGTTGACCAATGGTATGCATTTCCGCTCCCACTGTTTGGACTAGATTCTGCGGATTGTCGCACCCGTGTAACTTAAATTTAGTTAAGTGGTAGGGATGAACGATGCTTGACGTCTCAGCGTCCATGTCACGGCAGAAAGGTCAATAACTACAAACTATTATAAATATAAGCGCTAGTCACTGAACACTAGTTGTTCTGTATTAAAGGCATGCGCCTAGTTGTTATACTAAGTAATTTTGTAAAATCAATTCCGCAACTCAAATTTATACGAAAAATAAAGTTTTTTGAAAATACTATGCCCATTGCACCAGTATTAAAAAATAATATGTTATTAACTATGTATTGACAGACTAAAGGAGATCTTAATGACCGTTCTACGAATTATCATAATAATAGTAATAATAATAATAATTCAGTAATTGTTAATTTTTAACGACACACGTGTCCTTTAGATTTATGATGATATTAATATTTAACTTGTTGATGGATAATAAATGGTAATTTTCTATGCTACGTCATAATACGTATGTTGTTTCTTTATCTAAAAATTACCTGTAAGGACAATATAGAATTTTATCAGAATTTTATCTAATATTAAACTATGTCCTTTTAGATATATTTTTAAATAGCTTTTCAGTTTTGCAACAAACTTCCTTTGGCGTAGTATGTGGAAAACAAACAGTATTCGTGGGTGACTGCATTTTTTCCATTGTTGATTGTTCTAAAATATATTTCAAAATTCCATATGAGTGAATAATTATAGTTAGTTGTAACCGTTTATTGTAATAAACCACTAACTTGAATCATATCGCACGTGAAGAGTCGTGACTCGTGATGGTACATCACTTTTATGATTTAAAAACATACTCACTTCAACATAATAATAATTCGCACGTACGGTATTGTTTCTACAGTACAGAGTTTCCAAGTGCGCCACAGTCTTAAGGAGAGGAATGAGGAGTAAGGACCACATATCATAATAATACATACATTGGCGATGGGTGCATAATTTATTGTAGACGCTACGGTATGCTCGCATAAATCCTAAAGTGTACACTGTAATGATGTATACATAAAGTATATTGTAATATTCAGAAACCTGAAACGGCCAAAACCGACTGAACGCGAGGTTAGGTTAGATGTACTTATAATCATTGTAATGTCGTCACGGTCCAGGTAATAATCATTATTTTATTTTTCGATTAGTCTTCAGTAAAACGTCATACCCATCATCGCATACTTATGTCGTATTTGTTCAAACGACTTGTCTTGTGGATTTTTTTTTTGCTTTCTCAAATACGATTAGCTTATTAGTTTATTTTAAATA